CACAACTATTAAGTGTTCTATTTATTATATATTTCTCTATGTTTTTTAATTTACAGTCAATAGCCACAGTTCATTTCCCACTACACACAGAGTTAAACTGTAATTTTACAATGCAGTGCTGGCACTAATAAGTTGCTTTTCTGTTTCTTTAGTTATGGAGAAGAGAGAGAAATCACAGATAACATATACCACATTTACAATCTCCATGATGACCATTACTGTAGGTCTCTGACACACCGTAATTGAGAGGCACTAAGATAGACTGAATGATTCTGTAAAGATCACTGGAATTCAAGACAATAAGGAAAACACCAAAAAAGTACTATTGGACAAAGATCAGCCTGCCAATACAAATACATGATCCAGGGTAGTGTAAACCATTATTGGCTGTATCCAAATACACATGCAAAGGTGTAGTTTGTACACAGTGGCAGGAAAGTTCTGCTGACACTGAAGTTTGATACAAAAATTTCCAAATATCTTTTCTGACCATAAGGATTTATTTAATAGGATGTCAGTATATTAGTAAGCAGACCTATATGTAAACAATCTGAACAATGTAATGTGTAATTTTGGCAGAAAAATCTTTGATTTTTAATGAGGTATATTTTGCTCATAAGCAGGGCCATGATTGCACTTTTATCACCTTCTTTCTGAGCTTAAAGTGACAAATTCATACACAATCAAAGGAAAGTATTACCATACACATAAATCAGATTTTGAATTATTGTTTTTAATGTAAAGGCACATATAAGATGCTATCTACTTTTACTGGTGGAATTACAATTCCAGTAAGAGGCACCTGCTTAATGCAAAAGGCAACTGTTTTAGCAAAGCCTTTCACTCAGGTTCCACAAGTTTTGTTGTGATTTCTGCAACTCAAAAGTTTTGGTATTATAAACACGTACCCAACCGTGGGTAGTATGCTAACCACTTGGTAGCAATACGTACCAGGTAGGTGTTCAAATGGATAAGGTTCTGCTCATAGGTGAGTAGTGACAGCTGAAATACAGCTCTCCACTTGATGCTTCCCACAGACATCATAGTCAGAAGTGTCACTACCGCAACACCCTCAGCTCCACATGGAAATGACCCATGGACAACACAGCATTTGAAAGTAGCATGCCAAGTACTTATCTAGAGAAATTTGACATTCTTTAATACAAATACGAGGCAAATAGATTACCACATCAGGGAACAACGAGACCAAAGTACCCACCGTGTTTTACCATGCAAATACTCTGTGTTCTTAAAAAGAAAAGACTGCAAAGCGACAGAGAGGGTGCTAAGAGCATCCTCTCATCCAGCCTCCAGTATATATTCCAAATTCCTTCTGTGTGTTACAGCCCTCACAGTGGAGAGGTTGGAGCTGGGCTTCAAATCAAAGTAAAACAGGTTTACTTCAACTTCCACAGCAGAGAACATTTTACAGGAGGTAACTGTTGAAACCAGCACAGCTATTTCAGAATAGTGACTTTGTCTGAACAATATCCACTACAATGTGTTCCTGATGCCAGCCCAGGTTTCTACATGCTTCCACCCTACAAATTATAAATTATAAGAGACATAAATTTTACAATAGAGATTGCCAATGAAGATAAGGAGCTTTCACTATTCATCGCATGGTATTTTTATTTTCTGTGGTGCTTGATTCCTTGAGGCTACCATGAGTTATGAGGACCTATAACAAACTAGTTTCCTTAATTTGATAGAAAGAGTGAATTTTAACTGAGATTAAATCTTTTCTCTAGTGAGAAAAAAATCAATAGTCATAGCAACATAAAGGATATCTGGATTGCAGAATTATCCCAAGGTGCATTTCATCTAATGGACCAAAAGTCACTTACTATTACAGTTTTAAAAATCCAATTAAGTCACTGAAGTCAATTGAGCTAGATCCTCTAACACATGACAATCTGACTGTTTGCAAATGGATGACATTGCTATAGCTTGTCTGTAATGTCTTGAAATAAACTTTCAAATTCTCTATGAGATATTAACATATTTTGAAACTCATACACAGTGAAGTTCCTCTGTTCCCCCTTAAGCAAATGCTGTACATTTCACCAGAAACGCTGCCTCAGGGTATCATCTTGCTGATGCATATGCCATAGGTTTTTTTTTTAAATGAAGAAATATATATAAGTATAGAAATCTTCCAATCATTATGTGAATACCATTTATGTGTTTCATAATTGAAGTTGCAATTCTTCATTATATTTTGCTTGCATGCTATATTTTTACTGAGACCATTCTATAAATTATTTGTACCTGAATCATTGGGAAGTATCTGAGGAACACTATGAACAACCTTGCTGAAGGCCAGGAGGTAAGAATTCTGGACTTCTTTAGAAGGGGATGACTCTATGCACAGGAATCTAGCTATTCTTTAAATACAATTTTTGAAAACCATGCCTACATTTCTAAAAGTTAGTACCTATGTTTTCTCCTTCTGGGACTAACCCCCAATATATTGGTTTGCTGTGCAGAAGGCGGTTCTGGTGGAATCCAGCCAAGTCATTCCCAACAATTTCCCTGGGAAACTGGCACGACAGTCAGGGTGTATAGAGGGGCCCCTACGAATCCACAAGTAAATTTAAACACCTCCTTGGACACACAGTGTCTGATACACCTGCCTTTCCTGCTGGCTGGCTCTAGCAGGCTCTCTGCTCAGCATGCAGCATCACAAACAGGAGAGGTCCTGTTAATTGCTCACTGGAAGCATCTACTTCTTCACACTGTCTGCTGGGACAAGTAACTCACTCTGTCAGCCCAGACACATATTACTGCAGACAACAAATCCCTGGAGTTGGCAATCTGGCCTACACCCAAGAGAGAAATATAATAAATAAGGAGTATCTGTCAGTCAATACCAAATGTGTATTAGGACTTGTGCACACAACATGCTACCTTGATGGTCTCAGCCATATATGCAAATAATATGCTTCTCCAAGAAGTCTTGCTTGCTATGTATTTTATGGCTGAAAACAAGCTGGAATATAGAAGGATAATTTTCAATCTGCTCAGAGATTTGAATTTCTTTTTACTCTTGGTACAAAGCAGTACCATGCACAGGCACAACTGAGTAAGGCATGAAGGGAATTTGCAAGTGTGCTTCTCTTACAGGACTATTTCTTACTCAGAGTGTAAAAAAGGTAAGGTAAACATTTTGTTTTCTTTCCTTGCCAGTGTATTTTCATATATCTTGAAGTATCAGAGAATTAAATGCTTCTCACTTAGCTTACCTTTTACAAACCAAAAAAGAGTATTGAGCATAATGGTAAAACAAATGGAAATCCTGTGTACACAGGGCACTACTTTTACTGAAGCACAAGGCATGAAAAAGCTGGGTTTTTTTCTTCTTTTTTTACTCCCCGCCCCCCCCCCCCCCCAAAAACACAGCTGTCATATTTACGTTTTATGCTCACTAGCTGGAAAGGAAATCTAGTACAATGTTTCACTTCCCAGAAGCATCTGAGACTATTCATCACACACATCATCATTGAACAATCTGGCACTGACAGTGAAATTGATTATTTATGGTGATCTGAATATTTGGGTAACGATGAAGTCAGTGTTGTAAGATTCTAAGCCTTTTATTGTTTTCCTTGATTCTTTTTTCTTGTTCTTCTCATTCTGATCTCATTACATTTTTCAAGCTTCTGTCAGGGGTTTGTGCTTATCAATGTTAGTAAGTCTTTGTTCTTCTGATAGCTTTAGGATCCACACATCTTCAGTTTTGCACTCATGTTCTTCATTCCAGTCTGACTTGGTCTGACTTCAGAGCAGACCAAACTAACAAAAGATAATAAAGAACTACCTACAGATAAACTGCAAATTACATATTACACACGCAAAAATACTATTCATCGATAAATTCTTTTTTTCCTTTTAGCCTGTTCTCCACTTCCTTTTAATCTCTGAGAGGCTGACTCTACAATAGAGCACAACTACAATGAAAATGGATCCCTCAAAGCTAATTTTGCAGTAAAAGACAGTTCAGTCAAATGGAAATCCTATACTGTCCTAATGCATTGCAATGCACAAATTACATTTGCTATTGGGGCATAGCAAAAAGCTGATTACTCTGAACTTTTTTGTGAAAATAGATTTATTCATGGTAAGAAGAACTCATGTGGTAATACTTCAGTTTTACTTCTAAAAGAGTATTTGCTTCTAACTCAAAGAGTTTTTCCTCCCCTGTGTTGTCTCAGGATCAAAGCTGAGAGCACTCAGACCAGAAGATCAAATTTTGTTTCATAAATAAGATTGTCTGACAATATGGAGCAGGATCCAAACAGTTAGAGTGCTGGCATAGTTTTTCTTCCTTATTAAAATATTTTGGAGGAAAAAAATAAGTGCTACAGTAGTTCTGTCAGCTTTAGATATCTGTCAATAATTAACTTTATCACTTATTAGAATAAAATGCACTGATTAGGAGTTTTTAATCAGTAAAATCCACACATTTACTAGAGGTTAATATTTAGATCTAGTCTGGAAAAATATAAGTACATAAGTTTAAAAGTTAATCATTAGGAAGCTAGATAGGTAGTCCTGGCTTACTTAATCATTAGCAAGTGTACATGGATTTCTAGATAGAATTTATAGGAACATTTTTTGGAATTCCTACCTTGAATTCCACGTTCTCCTGGTGGCCCTGGCAAACCATCATTTCCTGGTGGCCCTGGTGACCCATCTTTTCCTGGGGGCCCTGGTTTACCATGAGCTTGGGAGGCAAGCATTGCAGCAGGCAGCTTCAGCTGGGATAAAAATTGAGCCATCCTTTCTTCATTAATAAAAGACACAAGGAAAAGTGAGTAAGAAATCTACTAACAAATGACAGGTAAATCCCAAAGCACCAGCTAAAGTTTCTTGACATTCTTAATATCAAGAATACTCCAATACGCACTGAGACCTTCAGTTCCAACTCAGACTCATGTCTGAGTCTTTACCCTTTGAAATAGTCAGAATGAATTTGTATTAAAGTTTCTATTACTAATCTCTATTACTAATGTATTTCAACATTTCAAATGACTTCTGACTCCTGTTCATGGAAGTACTTAAAATACATAAACACAGAATAATTATTACTTAGCACACCTTTGAAGGGCTACCTCATATGTTCATAACTCATATTAAGTTGCAAAGCAGAGGTTAAATACCAAGAAACGTTCTTGGAATGTACCGAAACCCTGAAAACAGTTGTGAATAAACCTGAAAGTTCTCAGCAAAGATTATTAATTGCAGATATTTCAGGATGAACTTGTTCATGCTGGTGGAATAAGTGCACTTGGTAACATTTTAGTGTTCATTAGAGATAGAAAAAATAGGTGTTAATCTTGACTCTGTCTCTTTTAAAAAACAGATTAAAAACCTAAACATTATACAACATAGTATGTATTTGCTGTGGTGAAGTTTTAAGATTCAAGAAAAAAATCAGAATAGAGTGGGCAACAAACAAAAAAGAAGCAAGGTGATAGAAAGCAGGCAAAGTGAAACAATGTCAAAAAATGGAAGATCTGTGGGAACACTACTGAGGTGTAGAAAATGCAACGGCTACAAAGACAAAACTCCATTATTCCCTGCAGACAGGGCACCTTCTTTCTGTAAATAGACTAAATACTATTTGAATGGGAGAAGGAGGTGACTTCAGCCAACAAACTGCTCTTGAAATACATAGCAAGTTGAACTCCTGAGGGATAGCAACCTAGGAAAGGGTGAAAATACACAAAATGATAGCCTTGTTATAAAGTGAAAAACTGCCTGAACAGGTTAAAAAGCCCCAAGTTTTATATTATTTCTTTTATCCCTAAAAGATAAAATGGGTTGTATCCACAAATATTAATGACAAAATAGAGAAGTTGAAGACATAAGAAATGCGTTTTGCAATGGAAGAGAAGCTACTGTTAAGGGGTGTTCAAGCAGAATCTTGTTTCAGACACCTACCTGAGTCACAGCTTTGCAACCATGACTAAGGAAATGCTGGGGAAGAAAAATATTTCCTTTTCAGAGTATGGACTCAGACATCTAAGAAATCTTACATAGTACAAACGCCGTGGCTGAATCTGGAATTAGCCTGAAACTGGGCCAGAAGATGTTGATCTTGCAAGGAAGCTGTGGAACTCAGCAGGGATATTTGCTGAGCAAACTGTACAGCAGTTTAGACCAGGTTGACTGAAAGCTATCAAGCCTTCCTCTCATTTAAATAGTCACTCACTAAGAGGGCAAAAAAATTAGATATTTCTATTGTCTCTGCTTTAGTAACTCTTCAATGTCTTAATGATATGTTGTAGTAACATATGTATCTGCAATAAAATATGATACATATATTAACTACAGTGATACATACCTATGCTTGGTATTATGATTTGGAGCAGACTACCTTTTAATGCTAATCTTTTACATAAGGAAATACTCTAGTTAACAGATACTATAGCTTCCAATTGTTTAAACAGAATTATGTAGACTCGTTCAACATAGCTACAGCAACAAGGCAGCTGCTTAAGTTAGATGACATGTAAAGAGATTTCGAGCAGAATTTAAGATTTATATTTAGTTGTATAATACTTCATTTTCTCACCTTCAAAAACTTTAAGAACCTCTTGTTTGATATATTTTTTTATTTCTTCAAGTGAAACTGCATCAGCCTGATGAGGAAAAAGAAAGGTGATATGTATCAGAAGGAACATACAGAGTGAACTTTATGATGTTACAAAAATAAAAAATGCTGAAATTAGCATTAAAAATATAAACCTTTCACCAACAAATAAGTGTTTTAATATATTTGTGTTATTTACTTAACTGCAAAGGCCACTTTACTGTAATTACATTATAATATTATAAAGACACTAATGCCATGAAGTGGAAGAGGCACACCCAGCTGTCAAGATGACCAACATGTTACGTGTATGGAAATTAACCTGCACAAGACAGTAAGGTTGTCCAGTGACACAACTATGCTTCACTTGCCTTTTGCATAGCACCTGCCAACTTCTCACCCCCTCTAGGGACTAACTGCTTTGATGCACAGCCAACAAGAACAGAACCACAGCACCAACAACATCACTGGAAAAGTTTTTTAGCTTTACTTTATCTAATTGAGGTTAAAAAGTATCCATAACATGGACGTGTGCCTATGTGCGCATGGAGACAAACCAAGATATCTGCAACTGACAAGCAGCATTTCACTGTCTTTTTAAATGCTGATTTCCCTTCAACTGAGAATAAATTTTGTCTGCCTCCTTTTTTTCCCATTTGCAAAGACTTACACTCTAGCTCTTAAGTTTACAGAAAATGTGAAAATTAACTGTATTGAGTAGTCATATTGATATGAAGGAACTAAACAAGTAAATAATTAAAGTTCACTCATAGCAGACATTTTAAAATAATTATTAAAAATAACTGCCAGGTCATCTGGATATATTTTTCCACCCCTTACCTGAAGACTGAAATTATCTGAAAGAAAGCCTCAGTTTTTCCAAGACGGTGGTATTGCTCAGTTAAATTTGCACTGCTCAGCACATGCTACCTTCACATTGCATGAACTCTCAAGTAACAAAAGTAAACTTCTTTTTACTTACTGGAAACCCTGGGGGTCCTGGTGAACCTGGGGGACCTTGATGACCTGGTGATCCTGGATAGCCTCTGTCTCCTGGTGGGCCAACAGGACCCACATCCCCCTTTTCTCCTGTTGGGCCAGGTTTCCCTCGTTCACCCTGTGGACCTCTGTCCCCTGGAATACCCTGATCTCCCTATGTAAAATAAAAGCAGAAGGAAAATCATTGCATATAGTGGAACAAACCTGGAAAAGTCAGCCAAGAATTCTGAAGAGAAAATTCTCGCCTGTTCAGAAATAGACTGAGCCACAAAGTGAAGCTAATTTTATAGGCTAAACCTTGTCTCTGAAAATACATTTTGTTTTCTTATGCTTTTGATGTTGAAGTCAAAGACAGAAAGAACAGCTTGACTCTGTAACCCACTTTTCAGAGACAGGACTTGGGTACAGAAAGTTTTAGTCCTTATACAAGGATCTAGAAATGTCAGTTATGGCATAAGTAAAATTTAGGTGCTCAAATTCACACAGGCACAGGGCACCAGGATTTTTCCTGTAACTTTCCATAGAAGCCTAATATTTTATATCTTCATTTACACAAAACTTTAGTTAATCAAAGAGACAACTAGCACACAAGTTACTTTCAGTACCTAAAGGGGGCCTACAAGGAAGCTGGAGAGGGACTTTTTACAAGGGCATGTGGGGACAGGACAAGTGTTCTGGCTTTAAATTGAAAGAAAGAAGGTTTAGATGCGACATTAGGAAGAAATGTTTTACTCTGAGGGTGGTGAGGTATCGTAACAGGTTGTAAGAGAAGTTGTGGGTACTCCACTCCTGTAAGTGTTCAAGGCCAGGCTGGATGGGGCTTGGGACAACCTGATCTCGTGAAAGGTGCCCCTGCCCATGGCAGGGGGGTTGGAACTAGATATTATTTAAGGTTCCTTACAACCCAGGCCATTCTGTGATTCTATGATATATGTTTCTCAGGTTTATAACCCTGCAGGGAAGGTATAGATAGCTTTTCTAGTAGAGATAAAGAAAAAGGCAGGTTTCTCTTGGACCACGGTGCTATGGCAGTTTGAAGCTGATCCTCTTCTTCTGAACAATTCGCATTTTACAGGTTGCCAATGCGTAGGAAGTAAATCAAATACTACAGCAACTTTTCAAACAAGCGTTTCTAACTGCCTCCAGTGTTTTCTTTGTGTTTTGAAGAAGGTCCTTGTAAAAAACCAGAAAACTAGGTCATGTCTTCCTCCAGATTCCTCTTTAAATGCTCAACTATGAATTGTACAAAACTCAGGACATTTGTGTTTTATGATCTCTGCATAAGGTGCTGATTTATTCAGTCCTCCTCCCTTCTAGTGTTCTCCCATCTCTTACATTTTATCTTGTACTAAGATCTATGCAGAAGGAACTACTGTTTTTCCTGGATTTCTACATGCTCTTGTCCAGCAGGCTCACAGTCTGTGATCAAGGTAGGCAGATAATAGCAATAAATGAGCCAGCCACTAGTACTTTTATCTGTTGAAATGACTTGAAAACTGCATTTCTGATTGGTATAAATCACATATTTTCAACTACTTTGCACTCAGTTTATAAAGTAATAAGAACAGCAGTGTTTAGTCACTCCAAGGGTATATAAGATTTTTTCAGCCCAGGTGGTTTATCCCTTCTTAAAACGGATTCCATGAGGACATACTTATATTAGACATGAAAACCTCAAGAGTTTTATTCTGTCATTCGAATTTTGTTGCTTCTCTTTTCTGTAACAGTAACAGCTGATCTCAAACTGAAGGAATATGGTGCACAGCAGTAATAATAATGGCTGCAAGAAAACCTTGACTTTATTTTCTCTATTCACTTCAATTTCTCACAGATGCAGGCCTGTGTCCTTAAAGGCAAAAACCAGAACACTGAAAACTGTAATAATGGTTAAAACCTCATGTCTCTTCAGTGTCATAAAGACTTCCTTTTCCACATTACACAGGGAGATGCTTTTCTGATTCATCAGACAAATGTGCTATCCATCGGATTAGGACATCAGGGCTTTAGCAACGTTATAATAAGAACATCTCATACATACATACATATATATATATATATATATACACACACACACACACACACACACACACACACAAAATAACTCATCTCTCAACTCCTGTAATCATTCCTGGCCACCACGATCTTGTTACCATAAACAGAACTGTCTAAAGAGTTTGGGAAGCAGTAAGGCATAGCATTGGCATTTCTGCTGCCTAAGTGTGACAAGCTTGTTTTATAAAAAACATGATTTGTATTTATGACAACCCAAGGATGACAATAGGGCAAGTTCACAGCTTTTGCAAAGTCTGACAACATCACAAGATCAGCTGCATTTCAATTTTCAACCGATTCATCAATTTACACTTTCCAGGCCAACTGTGTTAGAAAGTGTATATGTTTTTCCTCCAAATGCAGAAGACAATTCAACTCTAATTCCTTCAAGTCGTATCTAGGACTAAACATGTTAGGTGTCTAAGAGACTGCTTGACGTTCACAAAGAATTAAGTTCTTAGTTTTGCCTATAAAATATGTGATGATGAGGTGCTTAAATGCTCAGTAAAAAGAGAAAAAGTTTTCATAATAGGGGACTTACACGTTCTCCTTTGGGTCCTCTGTCTCCTGGTCTCCCCACAGCACCCTGAAAAATGGTTTTTGCAAAAAAGATAAACCTATCAATTAAAGGCTTTGTTGTATATTCATTTGTTAGCAGAACTGAAAGCAACTGCCTAGGATTAACAGCTATGGTATCTGTAAAGAATAAAATACATAAAAACTTGTTCTCCTACCGGAGGACCTGGCAATCCATCTTTTCCATTGAGTCCCTAGAAAAAAAAGACCAAACACAACAATTTTTTAATAAATAGTCTTAAGTATTTTAAAAATATAAGGGCTAAAGCTCAATATTTGGTGCCATATCAGTAAATATTCTGAAGTTTGCAGAGGCAGAAGTGTGTGTGGTTATAATATAGAAATACAAAACCCATCAAGATGTGCATCAAATTTTATGAGCATTCAACTTTAAATGACGAGTTATGTGGAAATTTTGCAAATGTGGAATATGGACCTGCACACGTACTTTTTCAGTACCAGGTAGTCATTACATAACCATAGAAGAGATTTCTCTTATTCTAGATATTAGCCCTCATACCCTATTACTCCTCTGCTGCTGCAGAGATTATGCCTTAATATTAAGTGGCTAGATCCACTCCTTGGTTCTTAGGACTTCTAGCACAGCACAGTTTTGGTCTCCTGGGCTAAACCTATTTCCTTCCCAAAAGAGGGTGCTCTCATTCATGCCTCTTGCTGGAAACTGTTCCAGGCCCATGTTATCCTCCAAACTGGAATGTGGCATTATCATAAAATCATAGAATCAACCAGGTTGGAAAAGGCAACATCTCAGTAAAATTAACTATTAAAACACCACAATACCAGGAATTCTTTTCTGGGTGGTTAATACTGAGCCCTACAGCTCAATGTGTTCTTCAGATACTACCTAGCCTAACACAAAGCAAGATGTAATGTCATTTCTTGTGTAACTTCTGATAAACTAAGACATCCTTTTGTATATATTCATTATAAAATTCCTTACTGGTTTTCCTTGTGGTCCTTCTGGACCAGGGAAGCCTATATCTCCTATAGGTCCTCTTTCACCCTAAGAAAGAAGAAAATGCATATAAATCTGTCAGTAAAATCTTGCATTAGGTGTTTGAAACATTTGTGTATTATCATAAGAGTCCAGAACTCAAATCTGTACTTACAGGTTCCCCTGGCATCCCTGGGGACCCAGGAGATCCTGGCTTTCCCTGCAAACAGAGAATATTACAGATTCAAATTACTAGGAAGCAAAATAGAATTTTTCTCTAGGTAAAAAATAAGAGAGAATATACATATGAATGAAATATTCATGTTCTTGTTCATTATTTAATGAAAAATCTTGCTCTTTTGTACAACGTTACTCAATCCCTGGGTTTTCTTTACACTTTCTGAATACTGAGATAATGTTTTCATGAGATTTTCTTTTATAACACCATGATTTCCACAATGAGAAGTCATAGGCAGATCAAAGTTTATCACTGTATATGTAAAATCAAGATTAAGGTCCTTCCTAGTTCTAACTTTTTTGTGTGTGTGTGACTTTATTACTGACTTAATGTCTTTTGCAAAATTTCTTCATTCTGTTTTTTGGCCACTTTTATTGTTGTTTTATGTTCATCCTGTCAGAATTCACAATCCTCTCTCATCTCATCATTTAGATGCTGATTTTAAATGTCTCTTCTTCTCTCTCTTTATATATACATATAAAATGGTTTTCTTTTAACAACTTCAATCTACATTTCCCAGAAATAGCATTAGACCAGATCCTCAGGTGACTTGTACAAGTGAGGAATCAAACACATCAACATCAGTGACAACTTTGGGAACAACAGGACTGAGGATAAGTGCTGAGGAAATAGGCACTGATGGCAATGCTTGCAGAACCTCAGCCCAAGCTCCCCTGATAATCCCAGCAATCTCAGCAAAGTGCCAAAGTGTAAATAAGAGGTTTATATTCTCAGATGGGAAAAAGAGTCCACTATTCAATCTAAGGAATGATGACAGGTAAGGAACACAAATTATTTTCCAGTAAGATATGTGGATATGTTTCACACTCTTCCTAGGCTACTGAAAAAGTTGTTTCTCATACGTCTACTAATTTGTTAATTAATACTTCTTAGCATAAAATATAAAAGGAAACAATTAATTTCAGGAGGAAATAATTTATTCAGTGGATTTTATTAGAATTAACTATAATCAACAGAATGCAACTCCATCAGTGATGAAGGGACCTCAATAAATATTTCATATCCAACTTGAACAGACAACATCCAATGACTTGGAAATACACAGGGAATGAACAATTGTGATAATCCTAACCAGCTACTGTGTTATTATTCACAGTGTGAAATATATTTCAGAGCAACAAACTTTGAAACTCTTACATCTGCTATAAAACTCAGAGAAATACTTCTCTTTTTCCCTTAAATGTGCAATTTGCTTTAGGAGAACCTAATGAAATTAAGCTGTTTAAGATCATGTTCTCTCTTAGAACTCACAGTAAATAGGCTAAATCAGTGGCTAATGGAAATGAGAGTGCATAGACACAAACTCCTTTTTATTTCATGAAACACATATTTATAATTTAAACAGCTCCTAAATGGATTGGTAGCTGCCCAAATTTAATAATAAATCTATTTGCATATAAATAACTCCATATTGCCTCCTGAAATATGGATAAATTTTTTTTATTAAACTGTGAATGCAATATAATGTATTCATTTCCTTTAGGAACACAAATGAATAATTATAATTTCAATTTATCATTAGTTACATTTACTTTCACCTACAACAAAGTTTCTGGATGACTTTCAGAAATCTCTCTGAATACCACATGTAAATAGCTGACAAAGCAGTCCCCTAAAGCAAATGTTTGATTGACTTGATATGCAGATCCTTGTGGATTGCAATAACTAGTGTTCATAACTTTTCTTTGTGATAGAAAGATGCTCAGAAATTTGTGCATGCCCATGAACACAGAAAAAGTCTTTAACTATATTAAATAGAGGCAATGAGAAGAATCTCATATTCTTTCTTAGCTAAGCATATGCAGCTTCAAATTCCAGCTTTATCATGTATTCACACCACTCCTGTCATTTTAATAATAATATGAACCCTCAATGCTATTAAAAATCTAATTTCTTTAGGAAAAACACAATCTTCCTACCTGCCTACAAAGTATAAGCCAAGCACTCATGTCCCACAGTGGTAGAGATTACAGCTCAGCATCTCGCTTGACCTGTTTTTCAGCTTCTAAAAAACTGAGTTTTTTTTAATGAACATACATACCGGTGTCCCTGCTACTCCCGGTGTGCCGGCTGGTCCACGGTCACCCTGAAGAAAAGATAAATCTATACTTAAATGGCAACAATCAAACCAGAAGTTTGTTTGTGGATTCCCATTAAAACCTGAGGAAGAATTATTCAGCGAACTGAAAATGAGGATAAGAGCCAGGCTCTGCTAAATGCTAATATTTATCTCTGCCACTGGCTCATTTTACAGACCTGAGCAAGTAACCAAAATCCTTTGTTTAGGTTCTCTTATATTATGTTTCTATGCTATCCCTTTGATTCTGCTTCAGGCCTTCCTTGAAAAGGGATGGAAAGTCCCTGACTTATCTGAAGTTGTCCAAATAATTACAATTTGTGGTCATGACAATGACCAAAATTCATACAGGGTAATTCACTTTCATGTCAACATCCCCATGTTTAAGATGCGTCTTTCAAAGAAGTTTTTGCCTTCCTGCAACCTGCTCATTCATTTACTAAAAGTCAGCATCCTCAATTTGCTTGTGCCATGGCCCTTTCTGGGCAAAGGTTCTCCTTTTAGCATACACCCATCTTCATGTATGCTTTAAGCTAAGACAATGGGGTATTTTTTTGCTGGAGGTGATGAGTTATGGGCATAAATTCATCTTTCTTGAGAGGTCTATAAACCAAAGTAGACAGAGGTCAACAGTGGTAAAACTCTACACAGCGGTATTTGCTCTAACCCACTGCTGACGTGTGTTGGTCTGCAGCACTATGCTTTGCTACTGCAATGCTGGTTAAAAATGTAAGAAAAAATTAGGGTCCTAGCTTCTATATTCATGTCAGAAAAGTCATGGTACTGTTAAAGCCATACTCACAGGCCAATATTTTTCTGAGATGAGTTTATATTACCTGAAGCAGATTTGCTAAAGCTCTGCCAGCACAGCTACACACATGTTCTGCTGTGCAGAAGAGCCTCAGGGAGTGTTGGTATTTCTGGTTTCTGTTCTTGTAACTAATGCTGTTTTGTCTCATTCTCATAATTTTGCTCAGGTGCTCAAGGCAATGCTGCTAATTAAAAAGACTTAACTCTGTTACACGAAGTGTAGACAGGTGACAAGTTAAATGTCTGACCTCGTGTCCAGAGGAAGCAACTTGCTTACAGGCCACAGTTCAACCTCTCCTGCTATGGAGGCTGAGAGAAGTCCCTTAATGCATATTTGTCCCTCAGTGAGGGACACAACATGCACCTCTGGAACAGTGAGCACTATCTGCATCAGGTAGGCCATGTTGTCTGGAGCACTGCACACTGTCTCAGTGGTTATTCTGGACCCAGAACTTGTGGTGTTTTCCCTGTATGGTGGCCATGATGACAAAACCGAAAATTCCTAACATTTCCCTTGCAACTTTTTTCTTTTCTTTTTCTTTTTCAGGGTTATTGTGGTCCTTTCAGCAATGTGGTTTGCAGCATGGCTGCACAAACCACTGTGTCAGCACAGCTGAGGGAAGGGACATTTTATCCAGAGGACATAAAGTTCTTAAACCAGTTCATGAAATTATCATGAAATTACAGCAAACACTTGTCTGTGGAAGATGAAATTCTGCAGCACAAAGGTGCATAATAGCTCTATATTAAAAACCAGTATGCATTATACTGTTGGGACTGGCAGGCTCCAAGATTCTGTTCATTTATTTGCAGCAGAAATGTGGAATTTTGACCAAATTTAGTTAAGGAAAAGATATTTTTACTCTGGGAAAGGGCCAAACACTCACTTAGCTGGTTTATACAATTTGATCCATTGCTTATTCCCTTTATTTAATTCCTGTACCCACTTTGTCTCAGTTAGGCCTGTAATATCTCCCTGCGTTTGTTCATTTTGAAATGAGACTAGTTCTTATTTGCTTGTAAATTGAAGTATTACAGTGCAAGAATCACCTCACGTAATTTAAACATCTACCTTAGATCTTGTCACTCCCCACTCTGCACAAGTAGGAGTAAGGCACAGTGATATCAAGAGAGAAACTTTAATTTACATTGCTTTTTGGTGAAAAAAGTTTCAGTAAGCTATTTTTGTATGAAGTCACTGAATAACATAATTCAAAAAGCTGAACAAATACTTCATTTGCAAAAGAATTTACTCATTTTTCTTCTTAAATTGATGGGCAAAATCAAACTGGTTTTGCTGACAGAAAGCATATTCACGGATTTTTTCATTTCTCTGATGTTTTGTACTTTGCCATATTTAGAAATGAATATCAAAATACTGACATTTTTAGCATTTCATGACAAGCTAAATTCATAATCGGCCTCCACAACTAGGAAGCAAAAGGCAGAGAACAAGACAGATGGAATGCAAGCATAAGACAATGTTCGATAGGGAACAGGAACTAGTGACCATACAGAGAAACATGTTAACTATATTACTATCATGTACAGAAGTGTTCTACCAAGTTAAGACAACAAAATATTACAAGACCTCCCACACAGAGTTTTCCATTTGCAGAAAATGAAATGTTATGTTGGATGAGTATATGATTTAGATTCGCAGTAAAGCAAAATAGTATAGATAAATATGCCAAGATTTTTTCGCACAGAAACGTTAATACACGAAAAAAATTCAAACATGGTTTCAGAAAACATTTAGTTGCAGGTAGTGTCCACTAAGAAGAAGCCACCATTACTTCTTTTATTTAAGAGTCCTACCTTTTCCCCTGGGAGTCCTTCCAGTCCTGGTAAGCCCATTGGTCCTGGGTCTCCCTGATTTTTGTTTTTTTAATTAAAAAATATTGTACACATTAGAATTTCAGTACTCTACTTGAGAAATGCTGAACAGAAAGCAACAGCAGATTATTTAACCTGAGATTAGTAAAACAGCTAACCAGTTATTAGGTGAAGAGATTTTGTTATACTCTATTTTATTGATCTGTAAATTAAATTTTTCTCAGAGGCACTGTGTGAATATTTGGATCAATGGTTTAATTTTGATGAAGAATGTAATCCAGAAGACTCCACTTCAGTGCTCTTGCAAGCCAAGGTCACCTCTAAAGCACCTCCAGGCAGCAGAGCCTTGGAATGTAAGCATACACTGTCAATCAGAGAACCAAACTCCAAGCAATTCAGTGCTCTGTTCCCTGAACAAAGGTCACTCTGCAGCAAGAGATGCACAGACTGGATCCCTGGGTAGGTTTTCAAGTTTTGAAAGAAAACCAGAAACATGCTCCACTAGAGAAATCAGGTTAACATGTAGAGAGGGGAAGCCCTATTAATTGTTTTTTGAAAGAAAATTGATAATTTATCATGGAGATTTAAACTACAGCCAACAACTCCAGTATTTCAGCAATTGTCAGTTACATCAAAAGCCATGGCAAACTGCTGTCTGGATTTCTTGAAGTCTCTGACAGATCTCTCTTCCCACACCTAACCTCTGTTTGGTAGCTGGTGTTTCCTGAGTAGGAAGTGGATGCTGATACAGAAAGGTGTATTCAGCTTCTGGGCATTATGGTGAAAAAGAAGAGGCTTGTGAGTTCTTTTGAAAACAGATTATTCAACTGTTTAGGAAACTATCTCACAACTCCATGTTTTGCTGTCACTGCTGAGGAGTTTTCGTTTGGGTTTCTTCTTTTCCTTGAGAAGCATAGTTATCACTTTGGTTCATAAATCAAAATATACTTTTTCATATAGCTGACTTTCCATTAACACTTGGCAAGGAATCAAACATATTCCTAAACCCTGCATGAGCTGGCTGAGTGGAGATTATGCACCTTCATGACAGATGAAGTCCAAGGCAGCTCTTAAATATATTTCCTTCCTATACCACTTTGATCTTGGTTGGGTCAGTATGAGCTAGCTGCACTTAATTCTGCTACTATATTTGTGCAGACACTGTGCCTTCACTGGTAGGAAAAAAGGTACATCTAAGTGGTACTGGCATGCTGCTTTCATGAGTAGAGACATTCCTCAGTAATTTCACACTGATACTGAAGATAAAGATTCCATAATATGGACCCAAGTTAGAAGACAAGAACCTTTCAACAAGAGAAGACACATCATCATCTCCCAGATATTGTGGCCTGATATGTTCAGACAAGGCCAGTCTCCAGTGACATTTAAACAATCCATGCGTTCTCCTCTGACCCTGATTCTTTATTATCATGCATTCAAGATGTTGGCTGTTGTGCCCAAGACTAACAATTTGAAGACAGGACAGCAGCTGAAGAGGTCAAATGTCAGCTTCTTGGTGGTTGAATGAACTCCTGAATGGAACCCTGCAGTAATTTGTTTCACTAGTAGGAGGCAGAGATGTTATTTGCTTTGCTGGAAGGGACGTGATTTTGTTTCAAAAATGATCTCTCCAATATTTTTCAGGGTTTCCTGATCTTTATCAAGTAGACAATTTACCAGCAAACCATGGGGAACACAGCATGACTGGGAACAGTTTCCTTTCCTAACCATCTCGGCTTCTACTGATTTTATTAGTAAATTTTTTGCATCGGTTTCCATTATCTGACATATGGTTCTCATCTAATTTCAGTTATATTGCCTGAAGTTCAAAAGAGGCCTGCTGGACACAGTTCTACCACACTAACTACGAAGGAACAGCATCTGTTTCATTGCTTCGCCGTGTTATAGTGCTGTAACAATAATTCTGCAGTTACGTGACATTCTTTAGACTCAAAAAATAAGTACAAAATTTATTAGAATTTTAACTGTTGTGGAAGCACTTACCCAATTTTTAAAACAATATCAATTTAAAATGATATTTGATACTATTATACTTTTTGGGCTCAACCATCAACACTCAAGTGTTACTATTATCTTTTGGGTATTTTCACTGATGTCCAGCCATCAAGACACAATACCTGTGAGTTTCAACTTTTCCACCTCAAGTCTAGGAACTGTAGCAACACACTGTAAGATGATGACAAATACAGTTTCTCTATTATAAAGGCAAGGACTTTGGAAAATGTACACCTATTCAGGGTTTGGATCTACATTCTGCTGGCAGATAGCCCTATGCAACTGTTCAAGATTCTTCCCTTACTTGTCTTTCCCCCCCTCATAATTTTTAAAGAACAATCACATGAAAAGGACATAACACTGTTTAATGTGAAAAAAATAAATCAAAAAGTTAAACAGATGTGCTTTTGAACGTTGAACTGCATAGCTGAAAGGTATAGTGGCTCTATGGTCATCATCCTCTTGCTCACAAGAAGCAATGTGATCATACTGTAAGTAGCCATCATGCCATTTTTGAAGAAAACATCAACTTCTAGTTGTTACTAGCTGGCATGATGTAGCACACACTGTACCTTGACCATTATCACTTTCAAATTTAATATTGAGAACAATCTAATAGCTCCAAGGGTATTTTCTGCCTTTATTTCACCTTCTCTGGTCTTAGATATATCCAGAAACAGCTCAACAGAGATGAATCCATAAGCTGTTAATACTATGTTCAGTCATTCATTACATTTTCACTTAGAATTATTTACCAAAATTGAAAAATTCACAAGCCTGGCAATTAAAAAGGCTTTTTCAGGTGTACTGATTCTTCAGAAGGTAAGCTACCTGCTAAAGAATGTAAATAGACTCTTCTACCCTTGTAATTACTATCATGTGTCAAACTACTTTGGGAATTTTCTATTAAGACCAAAAAAGACATACATACCACTGTTCCAGGATCTCCTTTCGGACCCTGCAGACACAAACCAAAGTGGAAACACATTTAAAGAATGTCTTACACAATAAGATGATATTTTTAAAGATGGCATTATGAGTACACTTTGCTAATGCAGTGCATTTAGAATCAGTATTAATTCCAGCCCTCTCAGCTGACTAATTTAGTATAAAATCTTCATAATATTTGGGTTTTGTTTTGCTCTTCTAGAATACAGAGAAAGACAGCTTTGTACTTTGGCGCCAGGCCACAACCATAAATGGCACATAATGCAAGGACAAAGTCCTCACTGATGGCTACAACATATTTATGTGGTTACCAAAATGACAATCATCTCAAAACAGTAGAACCTGCCTATGATGCTAACAAGGAGGAGGATATAAAATAAGTGCACAGTATCTCTGGCTCCACAGAACCAAAGCATCAGTGTCCAGCTGCAAAGTGGTGCATCTGCACTCTGCAGCATGGAAGACACCAGCCCTGTACTACTGCCACAATATAATTCCTGGTTTTGCACATTTTTCTTCACTGTAGCTACAAACAGTGAATCAGTGACAGAACTCAGATCAGACTTCACGAGCTTCTCATTTCTGGCACCAAATTTAATCCACTACAAAGCTATGTCATCGCAAACTATAAATACAATATGACATGTTTTTAGATATTAGAATACTTTCACTAAGGAGTCCAATACAAAATTCTGTACCACTTCTGCAGCCTTTACTTGATAGGACAAAATACTTAAATCAAAATAAATTACTCTCCAAAATGTGCTAAAATACTTAATAAGCATAAATTCACAGACTCTATATCCTTTTCTACATATCAATCATGTACTTATTTTTTCAATCTTTCAATATAAAATCAAATTCCACGCAACCAACCAATCTCCCTATTACTATGGCAATTAGCTATTAGAAATTAGATTTCTGATAATACTTACCGGAGGTCCTGGTGGACCTGGATAACTAGTGACACTCGCACCTCCCTGTAAAAGCAAGTTTAAAAGTTGAGTTGGGCCAAAATTAGGTGTGGATTGAAAAAAACCAATTAACATTAAAGAAAAATACCTGCAGTTTATATAAGCTGCTCATTCCATTTCTTTCATTGTAAGGCATACCCTTTAAAGCATAAAAACCAAGTAAGTGTCATTTATGAATTATAAAGGCAGAATTATTGTTCTGTTCAAGTCCTGCAGCCTGGCAAACCTGTGGTATACTTTTTGTTCTCAATTTGTCAAAGATTCCAGACATTTCAAAAGAACACAAGATACATACCAATGCAGCTTGGGACTTTTTTTTGAATGTAAAACCAGAAACCTGTAAATCTCAGTGTATGTTATGTTTTGATATTTATTATTACAATTCTGCAGAATAAATTTTGTGTTAGGTACTATTCCACTTAATTTGGAGTTCACAATCTTTCCCTAGGTTCCCAGTGTTCTCTGATCTCATGTACCCAGGCTCTCAAGTTACTCTAGTAACACTGGACACCAAGGTTAACTAATTTGACCAGGTTTATAGGATGGCTTTAGTGACCTGAACTTACTCAGCGATGAATTGCAAGAAAAAAAAAAGGAATACAGAAACATTTTGAGAAAAGAAATTTTTTCCATCCTGCAGTACTAACATGCAGATTGACAGTTAGTTCCTTTTATTACTTTACATTTTACTCACAGGTATATTGTTCTTAGTATAACATTCAAAATATAAAACAAAATGTCTCACCGGAGGCCCAGGTGGTCCAGGTTTCCCAGGAGAACCTTCACTACCCTAGTAGAGCAAGAGATTCATAAGACTTATTTACTGTAACTGGCCAGATTTATTTCATACTCAAGCTATGATGACCATAATGACAATAAACAAGAGATACAAGCAAGTAATATCAAGAATAAATTCTCCTGCCCAGTTCTTGCTTAAGTTTTAGGCAAGTTATGAATCATTACTTTGTACTAGTTTTTTATTTTGTTAGTTGCTTGCTGCTTTATGCGTAGTAACTTCCTTATGGCAAAATAGTAGTGGTAACCTGGGTTGTGAGACATTTCATAGGTAGAGAGAGAGAGGAAGATTTAAAAAAAAAAAGATTTGTTAATATGAATTTCTAAGCAACTGGCAGATAAAAGTTAACATTAATTGTTAACTTTGTATGTTATTTTGTAAAAGCCAGTCCTCAGTTGATCATTCATATGTAAATAAAGAAGAGTTACAGTTTGAGAAGTTCGGTTTACATAGATACATATTGAATAAAAATTGGGATTTTTAAAAAAAATCTTTATTAAGAGACATAATGAACATATTTTTTGTTTTTATTATAGAATATTAATCTGCTGTTACCTGTATCTGTAGTCTGTTCTGCTGATGTGTACTGAATTGCTTATATTAAAAAAAAAATATAGCTGCTGAGATTTTTCCCCAGCAGAATGGTGGGGTCTCTGACTAGTATAGAGTTACAAAGGTTTCAATACAAAATTTCCCAAAAAAATCTTTTCAAAATCTTATCACTACAATTCAGTTAAGTACACTGTATAATTTGAAACAAGTCTGTCAGAATTTTTCACTAACTTTGTTGAATCCTATTAAACATGTCTCAGTGAGACCCTTAGGTCACATATTTAAAATTACTAAGGTGGCAAAAGTCAAGCGAAGTGTTCAATGCCATCAGAAAAATATAATTGTAATTAAATGTTTATAGTAGAATAATTTTCAAATGGTCCTGCTAATTGATAGAAACTAAGCCTCCAAAGTGTGGTTTGGAATACTTCCTGGGGTATTAAAATTCTATTATTTTAGTAAGCATACTATGTGATCTTTTCTCAAATATGTCCCCCAGATGAAGGAGGGAGGAGAAAATTACTGGGCCTGTAGTTCATTTACTTCATCACTCTTCAGCCATCTTTTTGTCCTTTTTGAATGAGGAACAAGTTATAGAGCAGTGGCTTCTCATTCTCACTTCTGTGTGAATTGTGAACATGGAACTAACAAAGACTCGTGTTTTACATTCAGTTACATAAAAATTAAATAACTGGGGTAAATCTTTCTTATTGTGGTCTACAAGGAGAAAACTGTCATTAAAATTTTATATTGAAATAATCTCAGAGCTTTACAAAATAGTTTCCCTTCTTACTCACACAGAGTCAAAGTTTTGCAGAGTATTAGTAGGATCCCACACATTGATGTGGCAGTGTTATGCCTGAAAAACTCCAAGGTAGTAGAGAAAAAAACAAAAAAAGCTGTATTCGTATACAAAATGGAGAACTTGTATCAGAAAGTATTTTGCCGCAAACTAAGTTTATCTCTGCTGTATTTCTCTGATCTGAGGAACCCGAGAAATGAATTTGACCTCTTAGTTACAATGGATAATGTTGAGTGCCTGATAAAAGAGCACATAAGTTTGATAAAAAGCAGTGCTACAAGAGTGTAAATTAAGTATAAAATTAAGTGTAAATTAAGTATAAAGGAAGCATATGCATTTTTTTCTGAATAACTAATAATAACTTTCAGTACTTGTGAAGCACTTTTAAAGTATGCAAATACTTTTGAGTATAATACTGGTAAAAGCATGAGTAGCAGACCAAGCAGTCACCAGTCATATACTATTTCACAAACACATTTTCACTTTCCTAAACTTAATATAATACCTTCCACCTAGAGAACATTCTCTGCAACTTACATACACCACAAGGACTGCAATTCAAAATATAAGCCCATATGCACATCATTGCTTGGGGAAAGTACTTGTATTAAGACACAAATAAAAATTTGAAATGTATGTCACATTCTTGTTTGCACTCTTGCACTTGTTTAAAAAAGCCCCAAAACATAAGAGTGTAATGGGATTGCAAAACCTTCGCAGATCTTTACCAAGACTAAAGAGAAGGAATACCTTTTCGCCTTTTGCCCCTGCTGGACCAGGATGTCCAGGTCTTCCTGTGACTCCCTGCACAACACAGAATTCTTTATATTAGTTATGAAAAAATGAAATACAGTATTCTTACATTGTCTCTAAGTTTTTAAAACTTTTGCTTTTTGAAGGTCATTTAAACCTAATTATGCTGCTTCTTCAGGTTTAAATATTTCTCTTCTGTCAGATACAACAGCTGTGTCCTTCAGATAAGTCCTTTGAAGGGTAGAACTTTGCAGTTGCATTTTCACCTTGGCAAACTAAATGCACTGACTCTAACTGGCACATCTTGATACTGCTAAGAATCACGCATTACTGCTAAAATGCCAGTTTATATATTCCACATTAAACTTCCTACATGTGCTACAGTTTTTGAAAGAAGCATTAGTACTGCCATAAAACCCAGGAATGAATAATGATCATACTAACTAACATGATTCCATCCAATATGTAGAAAATAAAATTTGAAAAAATTTTGAAGAGGACTTTTGCCAATAATACCAAAAATTCTAATGATATATTTCAGCATCTTTAAATACTGTCAGATTATTCTCATACTTTGTTTTTAACTTGTGAAACCAAGTAATTACAGAACAAAAAACAGAATGCAAATAATTACTTGGTTTCAGCACCGAATTTTTTCAGAATTACTAGCTGGAATTATTTTTAGATTTTTAATACTAGCAAGTATAACTTGAGTACAAATACATAATTCACTGCAAGTGTGCACATCGTAAGTCATGTAACCTCACAGATTCTCTAGTAATGCTAAAACTTGAAACCTATTTAAGTTACATAAACTTTGAGCCCAGAAAATGACAGTATTTTCAGTAACATCAACATCAATATAGTTTACTTTATTAGAGCCAGTATGGGTAAGGTTTTATTATTACTGTCCTAAAAGATAAAAGAAAGAATAAGAAACTAGACAGCTACAGCAACCTCTCCAGAGGTAAATTAGATCACAGGTGATACCAAACACTTACAGATGGTCCACTGGGTCCTGGTATGCCTGGCAGTCCAGGAGCACCTTGAAGACCCTGGAAATTAAGAGAGCACATGTCTAGTTCCTCTCCCACTTTTACATAAAAAATACTTATATTCAACATGTTCAGCAGTATTACAACTATATTTAAATACATTTTCTTCTAAAAGGTTGGTGCATTATTTTTAGTAATGAAAAAAACCAACACCTTGACATGCAGGGAAGAGATTACCATTGGACAAGGTTAGAGGCAACTTCTTGCTTGAGTAATAAACACCACTTGTCCTTCAACCTTTCACATTGTTATGTCTCGTAAATCTTTTTGTCTTTAGTTGTGTAGATAAGAATAGGACAGCTGGCTTTTCCTTAGAGATTAATTTTCTATTTTCTATCAGTAAAAGGCTCTTCTTTTGGTGAGAAGATATTTACTCAGACTTTTCAGTGTTTCCTGATGCTATCTAAATGCAATAGTGTTTTCTGCCTGATTTATAGATTTTGCTTTTTTGATAATGGAACATGACATTTTACACAGTATTTAATGATCCACTTTCCTGCTTCTATTCGATTTTATTGCCTGTAAAATTGATTGACTCTGGTATCCACTTACTAAACATACATGTGTTGCAATTTACTACAGTAAATACAGATGGGATTTGAGACAAGCCTGGACACCACTGAAAGTCTTTCCTCTGCCACACCAGGCTTAGGTGCAATTTTAGATGTGTAAAAGACATGTACTAATGACAGCCAACTGCTCTTGGTTCTGCCTATAGTCCACGAAGGAAAGTAGATACCTCCCAGCAGAGATTGATTTTATCTGTCTATCTGCTGACAAGAAGAAGGTGTATTTCTCCTGTTAAATGCTGTGTTTAAGAAGGAATGGCTAAGGAGGCAGTCTAGAAAGCTACAGAGGTCAGGAGACCTGAAATAGGTCCTCTGAGGGAGAGACTGAGGGAAAAAATTCAGACAGAAATAAATCAGAAAAAATGTGGAGTTAGGGAGAGACATTGATTTCCCTTTCTTGCTTCTACACACAGAGGACATTGATCCACCTCTGCAGCTTTTCAGAGTGGCAGGATGTGCTCTGTTCATTTCTAATTACTTTACTCTGATGGTACAGTCATATGGAAAATTAATATGAAGCCAAAGGAACTTTTTCTGCAGTTCTTGTTACTGATGTTAGGAAAACCCTCCCCTGAAAAAAACCCCATGTTTTTGAAAGGAAGAGAACTAAGCTTCAACAAAGATTAAAGGGCATATATTAAAAGCATATGGAAGTTGATGAGTGCATTTCAAAGAATTTCAGGTGGGCTTCTCAAACTTTCTTCCTATTTCCATGCTAACCAAATCATAACATTGAAAATAAATGCATTTTTTTAAAGAATTCCTAAAAAATGTTACTTTTAAATTTAGTAAGCTTTTTCATATGTGCTTCTCACAAAAAAATTCACTTGCACCTTCACAATGTCATAATCAAAAGTTACTGCTAAACAATGAAAATATCAGAGCTAAGGCAGCTAATGAGCTCTCAAACAGTGAAGAAGCATGTGAGTAGTTAATTTATTAATACAGCACAACACCCCACCGAGTTAATGAAAAATTTACTATGAACTTACCCTAGAGTCCTTTAAAAAAACCTAACTGCCAGTTATAAACTTGCTGTTCTATTATTACCCTCTTAATTGCCTGAAACATCTCACTTGGTTTCAGAAGTTAAATAGTATTTGAATTGTTGAAATGGTTTCACTAATGCCTCAGCCTGCTAGGACTGAATTGTAGAGATATCCTGTAGGACACGAGGGATGTGTTACTTTCCCATTTATTTTTTAGTAAAATTCTGCATGAAATTTGTTTATGGCTGCCCACCATTTCAGGGAATATGTTCTGAATTCAACCTCAGGAAGCTCTTGCTTTGATAAGAAGCAAGGAATTAATGAGATCTATATATCGTGTAAAACAAAAGGAAAAATAAGCATGATACTTTAGGCTGACAACATGCTAAACTCTGGGGCAAAACAGTAGCAGGAATACATATTTAATGCTTCTGCTGCATCTTTTTTTTCCTCATATAACTGTTCACATTTGGAAGCTAAGGATACTGACAAACACAGATTTTTTTGAAAATTATTCTCATTCTACTAGTCTACATGGTCTTAGTGCCAAGGAAATATAAAGTTATCATAAAGAATTGCAAATCCCTCAATCAATACACTCCAAATGTGTTTCATATTCTCCCAGTGCTGTGTCTTGTAGCCAGCACTCCCTGATTACAAGAGAATTTTTTCATTCTCCATAAAGACACAGAAATAACTATAAGAATGCAGTATATGATGCAAAATACTGTAAATACTTTGAATGCAGCTTCTTCAAACATTTTCCAGTTTCCACAATAGTAATTGCTGCTATGACCATTCCCATCAGAGTATTTGCCTAATGGAATGTTTTTGAAAATAAATTCTAAAGGGGATCTAATAAAATGAAAGCAGATACGTTATAAACATGAAGTATTTTCTGAAAATATTTGGCATTTGCCTATTTATTGCTCTATACGCTACTCTTAAGAATTAGCATGTAAATGTATATGAGGCTTTAAAAGATATAAATGAGTAAAAATTCACAGACAAAAATTAAATAGATGTAATTTAATTGAATAATAACAGTTAATCTTATTGAAAATTCAGAATTGAGAGCTACTTATAGCAATACATGACTATCTCAGCAGTTTTAAAGAACTAAAAAACATCCTGTGCATTTCATTCTCAGTCTAGGTCTTTACTCAGGTAGAAATGATGTACTTGTACCTCATCACCCTTCTCTCCCGCAAGCCCAGGAAATCCACGTTCACCTTTGCTTCCCTATGAAAACATAACATTCAAACAAATACTTTTGTTAGAGAACAATGAATTTCATGTTCTGTAGCGCATTTTATGACCCACATTTAATATATATTACTATGAAGCCCTAACAGCCATAGAGCCTAGGGCAGGAAAAAAAAAAGGCTCAAAACAACCTAAAAGCTTTAAAATATCACTCCGATTGAGGTGAAAGGAAATGAGCGGTTTGTACCTAGCAGGCAAACTAGACAAAAGGCCTGATGGAGACATTAAAACCAATGAGCTCAAAACGCTTGCTGAAATGGAGAAAGTTCACTTTCGTGGAATTAGACTCAATGATAGAAAATATCTATATGCCAAAGCATGTGGCATTTGATCTGATTACAGTGAAGCAGGATTTTGATTGATGTCAGTGAAACTTCAATCCCAGTGAAATAGCTGTGTTATTCCCATGGAGACAGAATGCAAAGGGTGGTCCAGCTGTTGCACACTTGAGGGAGACATGGGAAGTTTCCTTCACCACAGGATTCTTGTGTGACTGACTCACCTAAAATAAGTCTATAGATAACAATGCACTACTTAACAGTCAAATCTGAGCTAGCTTTAAAGGCAGCAAGAGATAGAAGAGCTATCCTGGTGTGGGACTCAAGTCAGGCTATTTTGCTCACTTTCCTTAGAGAGAAGGAAAACTGACTCATGATGAGGGCTGAACCAGAAAAATCGTTTGAACTTTTAGGCTGCTCAGATGTCACATGGATAGGGATCAGACAAGAAAGTCAAGACTGGCAGAGATAAGAATCTGGCCTTTTACTTTTAACAAGAGCCAAAGCAATGAAAAGTACTCTCTTCAAAACTTACCTTTGGCCCTTCTCTACCAGGGATGCCTGGAGGTCCTCTTGTGCCAGGATCACCCTGCGGAACAGACGGAAAACAAAGTGACAAATAACCATTTTTGTTACATAGATCTGATCCGTGCAGACCAATTTATACAGACTGCTTCCTTCCTGCCTTTCTGACCATCCCTTCATTTTACCCCAAAGCCTTCTCTTCAGTCCTTGCCCTCTTCTAAGCAATATACTTGTTCAGAGAGTCTTCCTTGTTTCTCCCCCATCTCTCAAACCCTGCTAACACATTTTTTACTTCATTTTAGACAGTTCCAGACACACCTGTGTTTAGGTTTGAGCACTCCAAATTTCATTATTTTTCAGAATAATATCTTAGAAATTCTAGACTATTTCCCCTATTTGGTATATTACTGAAATTAATGCTAAAAAGTAAAAGTGGAGAACGAGGTATATTTGTAGCAATTCATTCTGTGTATTGGATGTGTTGCATAGGCACTTGCTGGCTACTACCTCACACGCTATTTGGCAAAATTCCTATAAAATACAAACCTCACGTATTTTTAGAAAACAAATCCAAAATCTACAAAATCACAAAATTGTTTTAGGCTAGCCCCGTGGGTCAGAATTGAACCTACAGAAACTTTTAAATGCATATTTTGGTTTAAAAGCGCGTTTATAAAAAAGAACTATATTTAACCTCTAAAAATATTTACTTTCAGTATGGCACCCATGTCTCCCACAAGTGGCAGTGCAATCTGAAATTAAAAAAGCAGATGCAGTTAGTATTTTACACAACATTACTAATTATGATGTGTTCTCATTATTTCTAAAGTTTATATTGTTACAAATAGAGCTGACTATATATATATATATATATATATATATATATATATAGTGTGCCAAACTCTAAGTGTATGATACATAGTAGGATTTTGAAAGTTAAAATGGCCTTAATTCTCCAGAATCACTCTTGCTTGCTACATCTTCCTTTAAAAAATGTTCCTTCCAAAGAGAAGAGTATTTCAAGACAGCAAAAGGCAATAATGCTCCTGTTAGTAAGTTTTATAATTTAGACCTATTTAATAGCGGCATCAAATATTTTACTTATATTTAGTTTACAATGCACTGTGCCTTCTAGATGTATTCTACTTATGAATTTTATTTTTCCTTATTAAGCACTGCATACTCATCTGTGTCAAGTTAAATCTTGTTGACTTCAGATGGCCTTTGAATTTTGATTATATCTTCAAAAAGCAAGCAATCTTTCCCAGTCCAATTTCAGAGTTTATATCTACTTACCCTAATAAAATTAAATCACTGACGAGAACTGAGCATGGGAAAGACCTCTCTTTCCAAGTTTGACAGTTCTGCTGATAGATACTCTGATCCATAATTTTTGATAAGCATCAACTATATGGCAAGTAATTCTAAGCATTTTTTGCTTGCTTACAAAAACATCATGAAGACAGTCTCAAAGTTTTATTGGGGCAAAACTGTTTTCCTGTCTTTCCCAAGAAAGTATTTCCACTTTGTCATTCATATCACCAGTTCTTCTAGACTTGTTATGCTATTCACCTCCTTTAAATTTAAAATACTTGCACCAAAGCAAACGCACAAACTTTCTCTCTATACGTACAGGATCACCTGGAGGGCCTGGTAGTCCTGGCTTTCCATCTCTTCCTGGAGTGCCCTAGAAACAAATGTAAAAATTGATGGCCTTTAATCATTGATGAAGCACACATTACTTTTTGTTGCATATATAGAAAACTGTCACTTACATTAATACCAGGAGTACCTGGAGTTCCTGGTAACCCTGGTGGTCCCCTAGGGCCCTAAGAGCAGGAAAGGTAATTTAGGACATAAAAATACTTTTCCTGTAAAATTCTTAAATTAAATTGATGCTTTTTATATTAAAGACAAAACTTATACCCTACCTGCACACCTGCTGATCCAGTTGGACCTATAGGACCCTGCAAGAAAACTCCAAATAATCAGTAGTTTCACTTTCTGGGATAAGGGAGATGAACTTCATTAAAAAATATTGAATGTGGGATATAGCTGCAGTTTTCATTGCAAGAAAGACTCGCTCTAAGGTTTGGCTTTAAATCCAAATGTATTTTTTTTTAAATTACAGAATTCAAGACTTTGCTAAGGCCCATTTTTAAGGGGCAGCAACTGCAAAACTTAATGATTTGTGGTGAAACTTGTTATTTAGGCAGGACATTCCTCAGAAAAGCTGATGAGCAGTTGAATAAAACCAAATTAGATTATTTAGATATAAATGGATAATTTTTAAAATTCAGATTTGAAAATATTTTATCAGAAAAGATATTTTTAAGGATTACTTTAGATGAAGAACTCACTGTGAATCTCTATTCACCTTTCACAAACATTTTCTCTCTATACCAGGGTACTGTCCATAAACTGGAATGTATTAGCTGATACAGCTCTTCAGTCTGGACTGAAGAGAGATTGTCTTATTCACTGGAGCAGAACTCATGTACCACCCAACACCTATGCCATCAATATCAGCAAATTTTTTTACTGAAGACACTGCGGAGGGCTTTATTTAAAGGCAATAGAAAGAAAGAAACTTGGGAAACAAGCTGAATAACTGAAACAGTTATTGTTCTACAAGTTAGCTAGTATGAATGCTTTAGATAAGCTGCATCAACTTGCTTCATGTTTGAACTTAAACCACACAGCAACATGTGAAACAAGCTGGGAGTTGTGAGTCAAGTCAGAAGGGAGTTCACAGCATGGCTGTTTACTATGCTTAGTTTGCTTACTGCAGTTTCACAGAGATGCACAGCGAGAAGCCCAAATTCTGGGCATTGGTATACTTACTGGTGATCCCTGAACACCTATTCCAGGGGGCCCCATCTCCCCAGGTGCTCCCTGTACACCAGGTAGTCCTCTTTCTCCCTGTGAAAGGTACAAGGCTTTCCATTACAATAGGTCTGAAAATGCAAACTATGCAAACTACCTTTTTTTTTTTTTTTTTTTTTAGAAACAGAAATAATATATTTTGTATACCTTTGGTCCCCGTGGACCTGGGTTTCCAGGAACACCAGTGGGACCCTAAAAAGACCAAAACAAAACAAAAAACAGGAAAAAAAAAAAATTATGTTTTAAAATCCAAGAGATTAGATGAATTTTATTGCCAAAATTATTTATTCTTCAGAAATAAACTGTGAAAAATTTCCACGTCTTCCTTGTTAATACCACAGTCATTATGAGCATGTGTAAGTCTTGTACTATTTTTAGACTATATTTTAGAGCACTTATAACATATATGCACTGTAACATATATTTCCATTTTGAAATTACATTAGAAAAATACTTGCTTTGTGGCTTTAAACTGAGAGTAGATGAGATACTAGAAAGAAATTCTTTACTATGAGGATGATGAGGCACTGGAACAGGTTGCCCAGAGAAGTTGTGGCTACCCCATTCCTGGAAGTGTTCAAGGTCAGGTTGGATGGGGCTTTGAGCAATCTGGTCTAGCGGAAGGTGTCCCTACTGATGACACTGGGTTAGGACCAGATGATCTTTAAGGTCCCTTCCAACCCAAACCATTCTATGATTTTATGGTTTCTTTCATCGAACAGTTACAATTCCTTAACAATTCCTTCCCCCAAGAAATAAAGTCAGAAAAGCTTTTTCAGATTATGAGCTTACTGGTGTTCCAGGCAGACTTGGTCCAGGAGGCCCCATATCACCTTTTGGACCTGGATGTCCAGGTGGTCCCATAATCCCACCAGGGTCACCCTATAAAATAAATTTCAATCACAAATTGAAATGTGAGAATTTTCTCCTATGAAAAAACCTGTAAATACTATCAAGATTATGATAGAATGTGCCAGTATTTGAGAAGAAATAGAGAAGAAAAAAAAGCACTGATATTTTCCTTCAAGAAGTTACAGAAGAAGAGGAGGCATGGACTACACAACCATCAATTGTAACTAACATTGTCTCGGTTTTCCATGCTTGCCATGCAACTGATCTATATTTCTTGTTCCCCAGGCCCCTCATACACAGGTTTTCATTAAACCCTGACAATTAATTCACAGCAACAGGTTTCCACCAACTGCAGTCTCTCCCCAACTATCTACCCGAAGTGCTAAACCCAGGGTCCTCACTGTACTCCTGTTTACCCTTCTACTTCTTACATCAGTGCATGCAGTGTCTCTTGTTCCACATCTCTTAACTCCTGCTGCTTACTTGGGCTTTATATTATGCTGTCCTTTTGTCTTTTGCATGCTCTTGCAACATCTCTGTGATTTTTTCTGAATCCACTACTTCCCATTTTGTATGAGTAGAGTTTTGTTCCAATTATTTTCTTCTGTCTGTCTTCTAGCTCACTTTTTCAAACTAATAATGGATTTTATTAGTTTCTCTTGTACTCCACAATGTATAAATACCATAACACATCACATAGCTCAGAGCACACCTGTGTATCCTCTTTTCTCCCCTTCTCTACATTCAATATGTACACACATGTAGGGGCGTGTCTGAGGTACAAAGGGATGTACCAGGGCAGAGATGGCCAGAGAGCATGTGCCGAGGTTCACAACCCCCATTGGATAAAGAGATCACATGGTTATGGGATATAAAAGGGAGCGGGAATTTCGAATAAAGCTCTTTGTTCACCATCTCACAGAGAGCGTCCATGACTTCTTTATTATATAAAGGCAGCGTGCCATGCGGCACGCTACACACACATACAATTTTTAACTATTGCTGATGTAGCTGAATTCTAACTAAGGGATTTGTACACAGTAAAATACAATGTCATAAAGAGACACAGCCTTGGCTTACATCTGAGACAGTGTAGTTGCCCCAGTGCTCTGCCAAGATGAATATGTCTGACTGTGAAGTGGGATTTTACACATTAGTCCAAGTAGGGCACTACATTGAAATGGGTTTCTGTAGTCAGAAGCTGAACTGACATTTCTGCGCTGCAAAGATTTAGTGTAAGGGTGCAGTGCAACCTTCTTGAAGTATTACTTATATTATAAATCTGAAGAGAAACTGTTGCCAAACTGGCCTGCAGCATCTTCAAGAAGCAGACAGGAGGTTGCTGCTGGTACATTTTAAAATCAATTCATACAGCAGCCACACAGATGCACCACAAAAGGATGGAAGGTTACTTCTGAGGTGACAATTTAATATGCTCTAACATATCAAGCTTAATTAAAAACACTTAAAAAAATACCTTGTCTCCTTTAACTCCTGGGTTTCCTGGTACCCCATGCTCTCCTGGTAAGCCCTGGGATTAATAAAAACATAACTGTACATTTTTATAGCTATTCCCTTAAAGGTTATTTAAAATTACAGACAAAAACTAGTTTACATTGGATTATTTATTATGCATTAGTATTGACACCAAATGTTAAAGAGTATAAGTTAATGAATGCTTTTTTAATTAAATATATGAATACTTTTTCTTTTAGTTGAAATGTAATAATCAAGATTATTTTCTGGACTGTCTCAGGGCAGAATGGCGAAGACTGAAATGTTTATTTCTTCTATTTCAAAAGTCTTGAAAAATCAATAATTTTTTCAAGGAGGGCAACAGCACATAAAAACTTGAGTTTTAAATAAGTGTCTCATCTTTTCTGCCCATAAAGGTCTGCATGATTCCCTACACCAGTTAATTATTCAAATTGGTACCTTAAAAGCCTCAATGAATTCCCACTCCTGCACATTATTTAGTCCAAAAAAATTCCTTTAAAATGCTTAAGATATTTAATGGACAGTCAAAAATTTTCAGCAAATAAAATATGTTCCACCCTTTCGTTTGCCTAAGTATTTTCATCTTTTACATTTTGATTTTAACTTCAGTATTTTCCCTTTTCTTTTTCATTACGGATTTTTATAAATGCAGAGAAATAAAAAAGATTAAAATCTAAATAGAAGCTATTTAAATAATAAGGAAGGCTTAATTGGGTTCTCTTACTATGCTGTAACAAATACAGAAAACTTTTTCCATGACCCTTCAATGTTATTCAATCGTTTAGTCAAGTGTTTTATTAATACCAGTAATTTTCACAGTAAAAGATAAAATTGAGCAAACTGAAAAGTAAAATCCAAGTCTGAAACTTCAGATGGACTAGAAAATGAACTTTCTAAGAAAAAGACAAAGAAACACATATTGTTTCAATTTTTCTTCTCAGTGTAAAACACAGCTTTGTGAACACTGACATATGAAGGATGACAACATTTTCATGCCAGTAGTGAAGGTTCAAGAGCTGTGTGTTTGCTTTCTCTGCTTAATACAGACAGCTACTTGTTTCACCCAACCAAGCAAATTAAAAGCATAAGAAAGAAAAAAAGGTACCCTAATGAAGGACATTCTGCTTATACCAAGACCAAATCAGTATAAAAATATATGGAATTTTAAATTTACTGATTATGGATCAGACATCATGGTCTACTCTACCTCCAACTCTTCTACAATTCTTTTTTTTTTTTTCTGTTGGACCAAGCTTGAGGGATTTCTTAGGAAAAGAAAAGATGTAAGTCTTACATGCTGGATGGGTCTTTGATGATGTAAGTGAAAGTAAAACAATTTTCAACCTTTAAAAATTTTCATTATACTGCATAAAATTTTTGCACATATTTGTTAATCCATAATGTTTAATCTTTAGAAGACAAAACAATACAACAAGACTGGAGATAAACACGTCTCTATAATATATTTAAATATGTTTTTACATATTAGAATTGTATGTACAAATATGAGTCTTCAAGAATCATCTGTATCTAACATCTACATACATTATATCCAGTATTTATCTGTTCAAAATGCTACTTGATCAAAGATCCATCAGAACAGCAGTTTCAAAAGCAGCAATTATGAACTCAAGTGGGATGGTGGCAACACAAGCAAGAGAGAAATGCAGTATGTAGTTATCTTTCACGGTAGGATTGGGGATCTACACATAAATAGAAGCACACCAGATGAGGCTTACAAACTACTGTATAGATGATACATACATTAGACACAATTGAAAAAATGTGTGCCTAAACTGAGTAGGAAAATCAGTTTTAAAGAAATGGTCAGTAAGTAACCCAGTAGAAAATAACTACCTGAAGATTTGAATACTAGTATTTCTATCCTCTGCCAGGAGCTGAAGATGCTGTACTCCAGTTGTCACTTTGCTTACATACCTTAGACTTTTTACAGGTCAAAAATAAAAAGTCTGCCACCTGTGTATAACTTAGAATGGTATTCTAATATTAAAAAAGCATATGATATGAAAGTCTGTTCAAAATAAGAGTTCTCTTCAACAAAGTAGTCTCAGAGCATGCTTGGAAAGGCCCAAGACAAAATGCAACAACACCAGCACCTAGGTGCTTCTGTTGGTAGCTTCTGTTCTGCTAGGCTAACATTGCCTGCTCTCCATGCCGGCTTTTTTTGATCCAGTTGTTGGATCTAACCATTCAAATCTCCAAAATGCTACTTAAAAGCCAGTTTATGGTTTATGGAGGAAGGCAGGTGCAAGACCAAGAAGAGGGGGCAGGTGCCACTTGTTAGGTTATGTGACACCACAAGTGTTGTGGAGTGAAACCTAATTTCAGTTTATATGGGGGATTAGGCAGAACATAGTTGCCTGCACACCTAAAGAGGGATTGTGCTATAATTTGGAAGTGAGACAGGCAGCCACCACCCCAGAAGAGGTTTCTGCTGTATATATGATGGTGTTCAGTCAAATGCACAGGTGTCATAGTTTGAAATTGGCCCCCCCTGAGAGTTCAGGGGCTCAGAGGTGATTGGGTGCCAGGGCAGTGTTCCCTGGAGAGCCAATCACCATTCATGTTGTTCGTTTCTGCTCAAAATCATATATACACAGCCACGGGAAGCTGTGAGCAGTTTTGTTTTTCTGTTGGTGTCTGCTGTGTGTAGGTGTGGAAGGCCAGGGGGTGGCTGGGCTCCTTCTTCCTCCTCCGGGGAGGAGAGGGGAGCCCTGCGGCCCCCCCTCCCAACTCTGCCAAGGCCAGAATTAGAGACAGCATTGAGTTGAGTGTGTGAACTTTCAAGTTTAGTGCAATGGTGCTTAATAGTTTAAGATGTTTCCTAGAGAATCCAGACTGGATTAACATTTCACCCACGCTCTTCCTGCCCAGAGGCACAAGCGTTACAGGTGTTCTGGATCTTCAGGGAGGTGCCTACCAGCTTGAGAAATCTCAACCAGCCAGCAGACCCACCAGCCTGTTGCCCAGTGGCATAATGGTTACAGTTACACTAAAATGCCCATGAAGGAGACTCTTATCACCTTGACAAATCTCAATCCATTGGCAGACCTGAATGTGGGACACCCAAAAGCAAAATAACTACAGGAACATTCAGATTCTGCTGAGACATATCACTGCTTGAGATTCCCAACCCACCAGTTTTGCACTCAGACGTAAAGGTTAAGGGCACACTGAATCTCTGGTGAGCCTTAGCCAGTAGCACCTGCAGCTGGTAACCGTGAGAAGCTGCACAACACAAACCAAGACAACTTGCTGCCCAACTGTCCTGGCCAAGCAACAATCTCCCAGGATATAATGCTAACATGGGAATGAGCAAGAGATAATCAGGAAGGGTAAAAGAACTCAATTTAGTGGTTCTTAAATAAATCCCAATATCCAGATCCACTTCAGGCTGTCAAATGGTGTCAGAAGCAGGATATAGATGGTTTATTGAAACTCGAGATTAAAGGTCAGTTGATGGAGGCATTCCATCTGACTGTGCTTCAACCCATCATCGCTATAGTGCCACCCACAAAAGGACCACCTATGATAACTTCTGCGGTACTGTTCCACTGGCTAACTGTTCACACACCACACTGCTACAGCTTGGTGAAACTGCACAATACATACAACTTCTCCTGGCAGTCCCCTGGGTCCGACAGGTCCTGGAGGGCCCTGCAGTCCCTGTGAAATGATATAATACAGGTAAAAGTCAATACACTATTGTAATTTGGTGTAAAGCATATTTATATATAAATAGATTAAAACATTTGGCATTAAGAATTATCTTCCACATGAAGTAAGAAGTAGAGTTTGCTCATTCTCCCTTACTCTAATGTTCAATAAATCTTGGGGACTGATATGTACAAAACACAAAGTATGTATACAAAGCAAATACAAGTCAATACCAAGGCAATACCTAAAGGGTAAGACATAATAAAAGAATAAATCAAGATTTCAAGAATCATTTTTAAGACAACAGTTTTGTGGATTCTATAACTACATGCATTATCATTGGGCTTTCTTTTGATGTTCTAAAATTTGGGTACTATCATATCTAACATGAATAGTGTTGGGTGGAGGTTACATTTTACCAGTTTCCAATTGTACTTTTCTTTGACACAAAGCATCATGAGAGACTCTCAAGTACATTTGTGCTTCAGCTACTTTCCTCACAGAATCACACAATCACACAATGGGTAAGATTGGAAGGCACCACAGTGGGTCATCTGGTCCAAACTCCCTGCTCAAGCAGGGTCATCCTAGAGCACATGGCACAGTTTCTTGAGTATCTACAGTGAGGGATACCCCACGACCTCTCTGGGCAATCTTGTTCCAGTCCCTGGTCATCCACATAGTAAAGAAATTCTTTTTCATACTTAGGTGGAGCTTCCTGTGCATCAGTTCCTGCCCATTGCCTCTTGTCCTGTTGCTTGGCACCACCAAGAAGAGCCTGGATGTATCTTTTTGACACCCTCCCTTCTTATACAAATTGAGGAAGTCCCCTCTCAGTTGTCTCTTCTCGAGGCTGAACAGGCCCAGCTTCCTTAGCCTTTCCTTGTAAGAGAGATGCTCCAGTCCCTTATTCATCTTTGTTGTCCTCCAGTGGACCCACTCCAGGAGCTCCATATCTCTCTTGTAGAGAGACTGAGGAGCTCAGAACTGGGCACAGCACTCCAGACTTGCCTCACTAGGGCTGAGTAGAGGGGCAGGATAACCTCCCTTCACCTGCTGACAATGCTGATCCTAACGCACCCCAGGATACCATTGGCCTTCTTGGCCACAAGGGCACACTGCTGGATCATGGACAGCTTGTTGTCTGCCAGGAGTACCCCCTGGTCCTTCTCTGCAGAGCTGCTTTCCTGCAGGTCAGCCCCAAGCCTGTATCGGTACATGGGGTTCTTCCTTCCCCAGTTGCAGGACCCTGACTTTGCCTCTGTTAAGTATCAGACAGTTCTTCTCTACCCACCTCTCCAACCTGTTGAGGTCCTTATGAAGAGCTGCACAGCACTTTGGGGCATCAACTGCTCCTGCCAGCTTTGTGTCATCAGCAAACTTGCTGAGGAGGTAGCTACCCCTTCATCCAAGTCATTGATGAATAAGTTAAACAATACTGGGCCCAATATTGAACCTTGGGAGACACCACTAGTTGACAGGCCTCCAACTACACCCTGTGCTCCTGATCATGACCTTCTGGGATCTGCTGTTCAGCTAGCTCTCAATCCACCTCACTGTCCAGTACACAGTTCCTGAGTTTGCCTTTGAGGATAGACTCAAAGCAAGGTAATGACTGGTTTGACATCACCTACAGTCTCATAAGATTAAACAGAGGAACTGGTAAGTAGTAGTGGCAGTGGTTACTCCTTGCCTCACTGATGGATAGATACACCCAGCTACCAGTGGATTTGTAATTGCAAAATGGGTGCTCATAATCTTGAGTGACCAAATAACATTTGAGCTTTGCTTAAATATTCCTGAGTGATGCTGAGAACAACATAACTTTATGTAAAATGCAAATCTTACGTAAAATAGCCATAATCCAAGCACAAACTTTTGATATAAACTATTTGCATTCTCTGTCCTTTAATACTAGCTAAGGAGTTGATAGCATTCAGTCCTCTTGTATAATAGCATAGAATGCACTTGCTGTTAATACCACAGAAATACCTTTCACCTACCTTTGATCCTGGATTTCCAATAAGACCAGGTGGTCCAGGGACTCCCACTTCACCCTAATGACATTGTTTGAGAAAACAAAAAAATCCAGGGTTACTGTTATGTCTTCCAGTATCAGCTATGTGTATCAGCAATGTATGTAGTGTGCACGAGTCAGAAAATACCTTATTTCCTTTTGAGCCCTGCATTCCAGTCTCTCCCTGAAAACAGTAGATACAACCATAAGAAGTTAAAACTTAAACTAAGATCAGCTAAGAGTTTAATATGCTACTTAAGATATTGTAACACAGTTTGCAAACTTAAATATTGAGAAAGTATTAAAGAATTTCTGATTTTTTTTCTGCAAACTCTGAAAGGCATTCCTCTTTCAAACTAATTTTTTTTCAGGTTTTCCTAATGTTTTAAAGAAAAACATGTTTGAAAATACTACATTTGCATAAGAGTTTTTCCAGTCAAAAGCCTATTCTTCACGATGAAATCTCTTCCGGTACACAGTATTCACCTCCAAACCCACACATTATTGCAGTAAGGCTTATTTTGGTTATTATAACATGTTAATCACAAAAATCTAAGCAACCTTGAGTTGTGTATTAAAAAACATAACTAGCTTTTGTCAAATGTCATAAGAGGGGACAATAATTAATTAAAAATAAGTAACATAGGTAAACACACTCTTACAGAACGAGGGTTCTAAAAATATGCCTCAAAATAACATAAAAAGTTTATGCACACATAAAATGACTATATAAAATCTGCCTGATGTTAAATGCCACACTAGGGGCATAAAAATAATACAGTTCAGGCCATAAAAAAATTTGTGAAATAACTGGAAGAAAGAACCTCCACATAAAATAAAAAAAAGGTGTGTGCTTTAAACTCAGTTCATGGACTGTACCAACAACAGAAATGGTGAAGAACTGGGCATCTCTGTTTTTTATTTATAACCTGTGTAAGACAGGAGACAATATATGTGCTATCCCACATAATCCCTGAATCTAATGAACATGTACAAAGACAAGGAATTACAGCATGAATATAGTATGGAAATAATCTTGAATGTACATTATTCACATCAGTTCAAAAAACGCTATACTTACTGGATCTCCCTTGTCCCCTTTTTCAGAAGGCTCTCCCTAAGGAAACATAGGGAAGAGGTTAACATAGATTTTTTTTTAAATGGTAAATAGTCTATATGCCTGGTTTTGTTGAAGAGTCCTTGAAAAATGTTGCATTTTTTAAACCTATATAAAATACAAATATATGGACTACAAAAGTTTACTTGAAGGATGATGTTGATTTAATGCCAAGACCATGGCACGTGTGATCCTTTCAAGCAGGAGTACAAGGGAAGGTCAGGAACGTGAACTAAAGAGAGTGATAATGCATCCAAAACTGAAAAATTCCCAAACACAAGTGCTCTATAGCACACAAAATCATAAATCTGTGATATCAACAGAGTAAAAAAATGTTTCTGCTTGTATGAAAACTTTGTATAGAAAGATATGACCAAAGAAACCAACTGGAAGCCTGATAGCTGAATAGCAAAATGCCTAATCATCAGTAGATGAAGAACTGGGTATATCACCCATTCCTAGAAAAGCAAAATATACACCTGTTCCCCAATAATACCCCACTTTCCCCTCCAATCATTCTGGAAAATTTATTCTCAAACTAAAAGATACTAAATTAGAAGGTTTATTTCTAAATTTTAATAATTTAAAGACTCATGTTTTTTCATAGAGATATTGAAGATCACATTCATAACTTGAAAAAATGTGAATGGTGCCTAGTTCATGAGGAAGTCTCTGGTCATAAACTTATATAAACAATTTTAAACTGGTATTCAGTGAAAGTCTGAATGTGTTTAAAAGTAAGGACTTTGTGAATTGCTAGAACAGGGAAATTTACTTGCATATATAAATACCCACCCAAGGAGGTGCCTGAATAAATACAGATATTTAGAGAATGACAACTTTTCCTATGCCCAAATATATTTTCTTGATCCCTTGTATATTTTCCAAGATTTCACTAATAATCAGTACATTTAATTAACTTCTAGTATAACACATGAGCACATAAGTAAGGAATTAACTTACTTTTTCTCCTTTTGCACCAGTCATTCCCAATTCTCCTTTTTGACCCTTTTAACAAAATTAATTCATTTTAAAATCTTTTATATTCTGACAAATGCAGATAAACCTCTCCCCTTCTTTACCTGTACTTTGTTCTATGTAAGCCACATCTTAACTATTATTGCAATGGAATTCAAGCTTTAAACATGTGCAAATGAATTTAAATGACTATTCTATAGCAGATCTGCAGGCTTCTCTATAAAAAATGTTGTCAATTCTGTCACATATCCAGAGCACTTGTCTCTTCTCTTACAAGTTTGGAACACATGCAATTGTTAAAAAATCATTCTACTGTTTACACAGGACAGATGACTATAAACAACATACTATCATATAGTGTGGATTCAGAATTTGACTTCCATGCAATATTTAGAGGCTGCCTATAAGTATTCTTGGTATAGAAAGTCCTATTGTTACAGAGAAACTGCTTTAAATATTCATGATTTACTATTCAAAATATTTTCCAAATTTCAACTTTTTCAGAGTCTTTTCCACATAGCAGGCAAGTCAGCTCATTTGACTTCTCAGACAGCATTATGGAAACCACACACAGTCTTTTCAGCGTTTTGCCTTCCTGTTTATACTAGAGGACAAAGGATCGTGTGCTGCTCCTGCAGGATAGCACGATGAGCTGGATATTGGACTACACAGTTCAAAGTGCCAATCATCTCTAAAATCTATTCCTTCAAAGCCTGTTGTGATAAATCGAATAAAAGATACTGTGTTAGGTGTGGCAGAGACAGGTTAGATAGGCACTGTGAAATTTCTCCAAATTCATCCCAAATGCTTACAACATCTCCCTTCTGGCCTTTAAGTCCAGGGGTCCCAAGTACTCCTAGTAGTCTTGTATCACTCTGGAAAGAAATATCATCACAAAGATCAAAAAAACAGAAAATGGCACCATTCACATACAGTAACAATTTATTTACCATAACAATTTCTTGTAATTTACCAGTATGTAAATTCAGAAGTCTAATTTACTACTAGAAAGGGATAATAAATGCCTATGCAGTACAACTAGGTACTGTATTTAAGCAACCAGCCAGATTAGCAGAACATGAACAAAAGCATAAAAGGGAAATGTCTTTGTTGAACATTGCTATGCAAATCTGTTATTTTTTTAAAAAAACTCCATGCAAAGTACATACTTTTATGCTCATTGTTACAGTACGTTCCTCAAGTATGCTAAAAAAGAATAAAACCCACTTCTCTCCTATGAAAAAACCACAAGCTTTTTACTTTTCAGCAGCATGAAATGCAAAAGAATGTAGGACTAATTTAAGTCTACTACAGTAGTGAGACAGAAGGAGTGGGAATGAACATGGTCAACAGGTTTCTCACACTGCTCCTCAAAGAAAATAGACAGGTTTAAGAACCAGAGGTTCAGGTTGTATACGTGCTCAGGTGTTTACTGCACTGCATTTATTTACTCTTCTCTACAAGGTAAAGACACAATAAAATACAAAGCAAATTATTTCCTTTTCACAAAGCCAGACTCAGACTACTTATGGGGAATGTGTTTTCTTTTAATGACAATGGGAAAAGAAACAACAACAACAACAAAAAAAAAGATCCTGAAAAATGAGCACCCATCTAGACCCAAGGAATCTAAGCCCTAGAACATGTACCACTAGGTTGAATGGGAACACTTAGCAGGCCATATTCCAGTTTCCATATCTCTAAAATAGAGAAACATCATGATGAATAAAAGTGCCATTTGCACTCTGCTAATATTTTCAGAAGTAGGTAACTGAATATAAACTGAATAAAATCATTATTATTTTTAAAATGCTAATGTCATGGTGGATTTTCTTAGGTACTTAGGGTTTGTAAGCACTGTTGGTACACTAATTATCAAAATCACCTTCAGAGCCAGAGGCAGATACCCAGATAAAGGAATAAAGGAACCTGAGTATTGATGAGAAGTAGTTGACTACCACTGGACTGAGCACAATCAAGTGTCTGTTATAATGAGTACACTATAAATTATGATTTATACTTAGTTGTGCATTTCTTATGCATACATGGAGGGAAAAAAAAGAGAGGCTATTAGACTAAATAACTACTTTTATGGTCTTTGCATATTTATAGGTAATTTGCTCCTTACAACGAAATTTCAGTAAAATATAGTAAAGCAAAAAAATTTTAGAAAATTAACAATTAATTATTCCAGAATAATCTAAAATTACTATGAATTATAATTATTCTAAAACATTTCTTGGAAAGACTGTGATACAGTTTCAATTTCTTTGTGTTTTGTTTTCATTTTTATTTTTATGTGTTGTAGAACATTTTAGATTCAACTGATGTTTAGAAGCAAGTTTGACTAAAGTGACCTTCTATTTATGTGTGGGAAACTGATAAGTAAAAAAGATTGCAGAGGCCCTGAAAGCCCAGGCAAAGGATGATAACAGAGGCCTGAGAGTATTTAAACTCAAATCATGAGGCATTGTTTACCAGTCGCTGAAGGAATGTAACCTGCAGTACAGGACAGAACTAGTTTCTTGGCAAAAAGAAGAGAAAAAAATGCATATATTGAACACATGTAAAGTACCTCATTTACACTGAAAGCACAAAAGACATAACAAGAAGGAATATAAAAATAGTCACATGCCTTGCAAGAACAGGCACAAAAGAGGAATGAAGAAGAAAGGCTCCAACACTGTCTCCCAACCCATTAAGAATCAATGCTACTACTTTCCTCAGCAGGTTCCCCTCACCTTCATTAAAGAAAGATTGCTGATCTTGGTTTGCTGTTCATCACAATTTGCTGCTGCGATCAGCAATTGTATTTATATTGCTCTCTTTCACTGTATACATGGATCAAGTATATTATGCTTTTAAAGACTTGCACTCCAGCCTCCTAGCACAATAAAGTGATTGATACTGAGCCAGAAGAACCTTGGTTGCAACAAATTATTTAATTACATGATGCAAAAACAACTACTTCTTGATATCATACAGAACTCAGAAGAACAGCAAATAATCTGCTAAGAAACAGAGAAATTAGAGAGAAAAAAAAGAGACATTAATTATGATGGGTCTTAAGAGTCACCACATTTCTTGGTAGAAGTTTCTCATGGTTCCTGAAAATACCAACACAAAGAAGCCATACTAACATCCTCAGGAAAAATAAAAAGGTATTAAGATATCTATAGCAACCAAAATGTGGTCACAATGTGAACACTTTTAAACACCAAACTGAAAGAAGACCTTATGAGATCCTTAAGAACATTCATAAAGTGATGAAAAATGACAAGATCATTTCCTGTGCTGTGAGGAATCTCAAAAACCTCAGGGTATCACTGAAATATCATTTTACCAATGCAAATTACTGAGGTAATTATATCCTGGAATTATATACTGGAAATTATATACTGGAATGTGAAAAATTTTGTAGTGCCTCCAATGTGCAGTGGACAAAATCAGTTCTTGTCATAGTATATAATAGTGTGGGGGAAAAAAAGGAAGTTACAGGTGCATACATCTGCATGAATCAATGGCAAAGCAGAGAAGCTGTCCTTGTCTTTGATGACTTTTTGTCTTGTCCTTGATGGAAACATCCTACTCCCATCATAAAATGTATAGGAACTAATATGTTTGCTGAAGCAGTTAGAGACTTATTTTGACTCTAGGAGGTTCTGAACACATAGTTACAGAAATTTTGCATATTTAGAACTTGTTGCTTGAATCAGAAAGCCATCTCCTCTTTCACCAGGAAGCAAACAGCATTTCCTTGTTTAACAGTTAATTGCTTGTGACAGAGTCATTAGTCTTCAAACTAGACAGCTGAAGGAAGAAAAGTTGTTAGGGTGTACAGGATTTAAAAGACAATTAATTTATAGACACGTAGCAGCTGGTCTAACTTTTTTTCCAGAATATTGTTAATTACGAAATATAAGCCACCTTACAAACACTTAGAGCCTTACAGTGATAAGAAAGAAAAATTTTTTTTTTGAGACACCTGCTTATCAGTTCCAGAAGATCACCACTGCTTGTATTTCCTCTTGCAGAATTACCTTAAAGGTACTACCAGGATAAAAGAAATTCATAGTGCAGAGGCGGGGAATGAGTTACAATAAATATGGTATTGATAGAGGAAACAGGCCTGGTATCAGCAAAAGCTCTTTGGTGGGAAAAATTAACTCGTAAGAAAACCAAAGGTGTAAAATTAAAATATAGAAAACTTCAACACATACATTTGAAATGGCAAACCAAACCAGAAACTAAGTCTCCAGGCATGAAAATGCCCCATGTTTAATTCCTAATGCATGTTTCTAAGGTGATACACTGATTTGAAATGAATCAAATATCAGAAATAACAGAGAAATCACTTCAGTTATCAAAACAACTGAAAAGATAGATTTGACATGAACTTAGCTCCAGAATATCTACTCAAGAAAAGATTTCAGTACTTGTCTAGAAATGTTGTATAGGAGAATACCCTGAATTCACCTGCTCTTCATAGTTATACATTCTAATATTTAAAGAAATGGATGTCTTCCAGGCTTGACCTTCATGACTTAAGGTGTGATACACACATTATCCTTTATATTGAACAAATATTGCTGTAGTAGTGTTTCATAAGTCTTTGAATTAAATAGAATTTTCTGATCAGATAAGTTAACTACTCTAGCATCAATCAAGCAAACTTCTGTGATCTCTGAATTATGGTTTCTTACAATGGCAGACACTACAACTTTGAAATATCTGTAGTAAGTATTTCAAAGCTCTGTCATGTGGAACACCATCCTATCCGATTTAACTTTTTTTTTTTTCTATTAAGTGCTTTTAGCTGCAGGTGGTTTTGTAATTAAGACTATTTTTATGAGTCTATAATACAAATATAAGGACAGTTCTCATGGATTGCTAGCAGATCTTTTCAAAATTATGCCTTGTCTTTCTATTTTACTCTTAAAATCATGACAGAGCAAGTCAAGAAAGTAATGCCAAGTACAACTTAGAGCAATTAGTTTTAGAAGTGGGGAGCTGGTGCTTCCTGCTAACAGCTCCATGGTCCACCCACCTGCTTTTTGAGTTACACCAGTCAAAAAAATCAGTGAGTAGAAGATGGATGGGAGGCAAGACAGCAAGACAGATGACACAGTAGGTATGTGACTGGAACGTGGCCTGAGCTTGTAAAGGGATGCAAAAAGAGAACACAGAAGGAACTACCTGTTGGATTAATTTGGAATGTGGTTTGCAGGGATCAAAACTGTAGTCATGTCTACCTTAGATACTTAGTCATAAGCTCACACAGACACCATATCAAATCTCCATACCTCATTATAATGTTTGTTCAATGAATCCAGAATTCCTTCTAGTCCAGAAGGACCCTATATGGAAAAATATGTATCAAAAGGTCATTTTAATTGAATTAAGTTTATGTTTGCATATCTTTATTCAAAGAGCAGTGAGCATGTAAAAGAGTTTATATTTTTGTTTGGTCATACAGTAAATTATTTTCTGTAACTTCATTATATCTTTTTATCAGGCATAGAGGAGGAGGAAAGTCAGTTTCTAAATCTCTGAATTTTGGAAACCAGCAACTTATTTTGAAGTGGTCTGTCAGAGAAGGCAGTAGTGACATCCATATCGATTTTAATACAAATCCCTTCTGGTATGAGCAACATCTTTTTTCTGCAGCATTTTAAAACTCTTCCCACTAAGTCAAAGATTAGGGTCTGATGTAGAAGCAGCTCCTAGTGTGAGTAAACAGGTAAATTTTTAACTTAAGAGCACAGAAAGTGAAATTGAGGAATGTCAGAATTCTCCAGAACACTAACTTCCTAGTTTTATTAGCATTGCAAGTTTGCACTTAAATACAGATATTTCATCAAGAAATTCAACAATGACAAAGGAACTTCCTACTCAAATGTAGGCTTAGGATGGAGAGATTAAAAAATATGCTTGCAAAAAAACATTTCTGGACATTAAACCCAACGTTTTTTGGCATAGTATGCCAAAAACCAGGCCATCAATGAGATTTTTAAGTTTTGTAGAAGAGAGCAGAACACTGACAGTTCAGTCAAGATCTTATGAATTAAAAGTCAATTAAATTTACAGATTAGCATAGTTACTCTCTTTGAGTTGAAATTTTCATATAATGCAATAAGAACTACAGCCATGCACATGGCTGTAGGAAACATTTGACTTCAATAACAGGATTACAATATACTTAAGTAAGTCACTTAGTCTGATTGACCTGGATGTTAACACAGACAAGGCACAAAAGCAGCTCTCCTTCTCTGGGGCTTTTTATAATCCTAATTTACATTCTGCAGCTTTTGTGTTAGTGGGGACATTAGGATGATTTGGAAGCCACATGAAACATTACAGGTATCTCACTCCCTCTTTGTTCCCAACATCGGAAGAGATACAAGGCCATAAATTCTTCCATTCATGCTATTTTGAAGTGAATTGTCACTTCAATTTTATGTTAAAAATAAGATAAATATAGTCAAGATGTTTTCACTGAGATGCTCACTCCACTCTGATTTCTGAAGTTAATGGTAGAATTTTTACTTTGATATCCATATTAAAGAGGGCAATCCAGAATTGGGACTGAACTGTGATGACACTGCTCAGATGTCTCAACTGTAGTCCTGTGGTGTTGAATCCTTGAACACAGGATCCTTGCAGGATTCTGCAATCCTGCAAGGAGTCAAAAATAAGAACTTATTCTCCCTTTACATTTGCTACCATGTTCCATGTTGTTTCTTTTACACAAATGAAACTGCTTCTGCCACACAACCCAGGAAGAATTTTAAAGCTGTACCTGCCACCAACCTCAATATGTCAGATATTATTTGTACATAAAATAAATAATTCTTGACAAAATGAAAAGCAATTGTACGTCACAGTTTTGAAAACCAGACATAACCTCAAACATCCCCATCCTCGAACTGCCTCATGACTAAGACAGTCAAGGAGAACTTTAGGCATTTGGATTGCATTCCTGACTATGCCACAGCTTTTGTGTTACCAGAGATAAACAACCTCTGGTTTTAGTATTTCTGTTTTCAAAAATTGACATAAATTTAATAATTTTATCTTTCCATCATTCTTTCTATAATAAAACTATAACAACACCATTTTAAACAAGTGTACAACAGAAAATATTTTTATTCTAGACTTTTTTCCTAAACTGTAGTCTCTTTCTTTCCTTCCACACTGTTCCACTCCTTTAATATAGTTGCACAATCCACTCTGAAGTCTCTGCAGACAAAAAAACCCAAAACAGTAGCATTGGTTTGCAAGTGAGGAAGCAATCAAATTAACAGCAATTGAAAAATTATTGTACAAGCAGTTTCTAGCTTTCGCATGAGAATTTTGCACATCTGCCACTTTGAAGCTCACTTGAGCAGGATTTCCTTTATCTTTTTTAATATCAAGTTGTGTAATTGAGAGAAGCGAAGCGCACAGAGAGTACAGTCGTATGAATAAGAAAAGAACTGAAGAAGTGTCCTGATTGTTTTCTGAAATTACAAACAGGTTTCAGATGTTATTTCTATAGACAAGGCAGGAATAGAAACACAGGTGCTTAACGGGAAATAGCTCCAAACTGTGAAATTACAGGGGTTTACAATATATTTCCCTCCCTTTACTTTTATAGTTCATCTGCATTTCTGTATAGATGAGACTGCTGAAAAAGTTTACCCAACCTCACAGTCCATGCAGTAAAATGTGTAACAAGTAATTTGCACCAGTTGCATCTCAAGAATAGGCCATTTTGGAGAACACAGCCTGCAAGTGACTCAGTGTAATCACTTTATCCTTTTATTTCACATTGGTGCCTGCCCCTTAAAATAAGATACTGTTTTTCTGATTACTATAATGTAAAACATTGTGAAACTCATCAGTGCAGATGTGCAGTATTGTATAACTTTTCCAAGTTATTTCCAAGAGCAAATGATGAAGGCATGATGTCTGCCACAATAGCATACATGAAATAAATTATATTTTGATATGGATATAAAAACTTAATGCATAGAAACAAGCAATATGACCAATCCTTGCAACCATTCGCATCCTACCACGTAAGCATTTCCAATACTCTTCTAAAAAGAAGCTGAAAGTCCAGGAAAACCAGAAATGCTACTGACAATTTTCACTTACCATTGCTTTGATTTTCTGTTTATTGTAATTCAATGATAACATTCACTCTCTTTCAAACATTGGTAGAGGAATGACAGTATTTCCTGAGGCAGAGGAAATTAAATTTCCAAGGCGAACTGCTGGCTAGTTAAGATAACTAGTTTTATGGCAATGAGATACGTATTGAATCACAAGACCAAAAGCATATGTAATTAAATGAAGAAATTCAAGTGAAATTTTCTACTGAATCACATGCAACACAAACAAAATGTAACTCTATTTTAATTTAAGACTAACACAAAGCTAATCTTCCAAGGAAAAATACTTGAGAAGACAAAAGTTATGAAATTCAGCCCCTTGAAAAAGTATGATGAACTGAATGATGAGCTTCAAGGGCTAATAGCAATCATGAAATAAATCTATTAAATCTATTGGTTGAAAACAATAGCTTTGGATGTGTTGGTTTAAGAGAATGAATAATTGTGATTATAGTTTACTAGCCTGTGATTTAGCACACCCAAAATTTCTTTTCCACCTCTGCAACAGATAGCTTCGATGAGATGGCACCTAGCCAAAACAGGTAGTCCTCATGTTTCCTACCTTTAAAAACTAGTGCTGATAACACTTCACTTCTGCCAAACAACAACACTGGGCAGAAATCATACTGAGACTCACCTCAAAGAATGGTGTTATACTGGTGGAAGTCTGTAGTACAACTCTAGCTTAGCACTCTTTTTATTTTATAAACAAGCTGATGTCCCACTAAAATGGGAGCTCTTGAGAAATGGAATTCCTCCAGTCATAACAGTTCCAGTAGAGACAGAGAAAATTAGGGCAGAAAAGATAAAGTTAGCCCTTAATGGGAAAACAAGTAAAACTCCTTTTTCTGTCCTCTATCCCATCTATGTAAATAGAAATACCTGCTGATTCATTGAAAAGTAAAAATAAATAAATAAAACCCCAACTTCCCCAAAAAATCCAACCTCAAAACCTCCCACAACTGACCATAACATGTAAAACAGTGCCAGACATCAGGCAGCTATCTTCTAGGTAGAACAAACAGAAAAATAAATTATCTCCTCTTAATAAAACTCTACACAAAATGAGGCAGATGATAGTAATTCTGCAACCCAAGACCAGAAAAGCACTTTACCTAAATGAAGACTGCAAAATTTGGCCTTTCCACCCTGAGGCTGAAAATGTATAAATACCAAGTTCAAATACATTCCACATGTTACCATGCAGGTGACTGAGCACTGAAACAGATTGCTCAGGGACGTTGTGGAGTCTCCCTCACTGGAGACATGCAAGAACCATCTGGACTCAATCCTGTGCACAATGCCTTAAAAACACTCTGCTCGAGCAGGGAGGTTGTGTCACATAACCCACAGTGGTCCCTTCTAATCCTACTCATTCTGTGATTCTGTCATTTTAAGTAGTGAGAAAAAAAAAGAAAAAAGTGTGGTAACTAGAAAGCCATTATACATAATTCAAAACAAGCTACAGTCTGCTGGGAACCCTTTCTGTGTTTATAAGTCCTGTAGTCTTTTTATTAGCAGCTATGGCAGAAGAGGGCAATCAGCACAGTTCTGCAATCCGATCAAAATGCTGTACTTAAAACCTCACAGTATCCTATTATTTCTTTTTGTTTTGTAAAATCAGCATTTCAATTTCAGTGAAGAGCCATGCTGAGCAGGATAACAGCACGTGAAAGAGACAGACTCTTTTTCAGAAGACTCTAGAAAAAATGGAAGCAAGCAAATATATAAAATACATTTGAAGGGTACAGAGGTTTTGATTTCACAATCACAATTTTCACAATGCTTCTGAGACTGAAGCGAAAAGTGTATTTAACAGAAGGTTTAAACTGCTATCTAGGCTCTTTCAAAGTGGAGAAAGGGTCAAAAAGCACTAGAGGGAGCTGCTGCTTAACTTAACCCGTCTGGATTTCTGACTTCAGCGCAAATTGCTACCTGCTGGAGTGAGAGATATGTAAGCACACATCTCAGCTCTCCTGTACCGAAATAACAGAACAGTACATCAGAGAGCAAGGATGCATACCAGGAATTCTGAAACAGAGGGGAGTAAAAGAACACTTTAAAAGTCCATAATATTTAATAGACTTTAAACAAATACTCAAAGGGGGAACAGACCTGTGTAGGTTTACAAAAATATTTTTGTAACTGATCAATAAAAGTCCTCATTGACTCCTTGGCTTTTGTGAGCACAGGATTTGTTCCAAAGGGGAAAAAAATACATAAAAGAAAGGATAAGGGAAAAATTACACAAAAGAAAGGATACCTGGAAGAAACGGCATAGAAAGTCCCATTTTAACTGAGTAGCTTAATTACCAGTTGCCAATCAATCTATGTTTCTGACACCAACCTAGGTTTTTAACCAAAGATGTGCAGATCATGTTAAGGGACTAGAAATTCACTACAAGCGCTAATTTTACTGAAAAAAAAAATCCCCAGCAATTAGGTTAGGGGAAAAAAAAGAAAAAAGATGAGATACTTAGAAAAGGTTAGAAAAGTCTTCAATGCTGCCATGCAACAAGTAGATTTTTGACTGTTAGAATATGTCCTTATAATGCTGTCACATGAAAGCACAGCATGTATGCTGACTGCAATTTTTGTAACTTTCAGTTTTCTTTAATTTTACTACCAATCTTTTCCACACAAATCCCTATCTGCACACACTGTTATTAGGACTGTCCTTTAAAATAAATCCCCTGAGTATTGTATTCTCTCCACCAACTTCTTCCTGAAAGAGGCAGAACTTTCCTTCTCACAGCTTTTGGTTTTCTTTTTTTTTTTGGTTTTGGTCATTACTAAGCACCTGGATGTTTTAATATCTAAATTAAATATTTAACATCATGGCATAAACTGATATATAAATTAGGTAAATTTATTAATTTCAAACACACAGTGTGTGTGTGCTTTAGCTACCCTGACAATTAATGACCAAATCTCCTTTTTCTCAAATACAAATTTCATATGCTTTTGAAGCATCAACCAAAACCCAAACTTATTTATCCTGGAGAGTCTCATTTTCACATGTTCAGTCAATCTGTTAACCATTTTGTACCCTGTGTATGCCAAACTTATGACAACCAGCATCCTGCAGGTATGACTGTTCTGTTGCGCTTTGGAAAGGCCAAAGTAAAGGCACATCCATGTGCATGAAGAAGTTGCTTACTATTAGTAGAAAAGGGGTAAATGGAAGCACAATATAGCACAATTGAATATGGTTTGAGCCTTCAAGAAGAGAGGGGGAATGATGGATTGTGTTGAAGGGTTTTTTGGTATGTACAAGCTGTGGCACTTCAAACATGGCAATACTGCTAATGCACATTAGTGGGCATTCCTGCTTTTAGAGTATGTCTTTTCTATGTTGTACATTCTCGGTCTTGGAAGAAGAAAACAAGATAGTGATATAGGTGTACCCAAAGCAAGGAGTGCATCAAGATAGTTATACCAGAAACAAATACTTTTAACCAATATTTAGGCCATGGCTGCTTGAGGAATGCTTTTCTGGTGCGCAGTACTAGGCTACAGTACTCATACGGAGTTCCTTGTATGGATGTTGCCATGTTGACAAAGTTGAGTTTTCTATTTGCTGTAAGAAAATCTGAAATATGACTCAGTAACAGAAGCGCAATTTAGCTTCCACTCAAGATTTCTAGTATATCTGTCAAGGATCATAAATCTTCACAAGCCTGACCTGCCAGCAAATCTATGATGGCAGAAATCTGTAATGGAGAAAAACCTTTTCACCAGCTCATGAAAAGCTAAGTAGATTAGGTCTAACATTGACCTCTGCTATAGTTTGCTTTTTTATTCTTTAAAGGTTATTTTTGGCATTTGTATTAAGAAAGATTCTGCATCACTCCTTTTCTCCTGTTTGGCCTCCTGCAGTCTGCAGGAAGTCCAAACTGTGCAAGAAACTAATTTTTATCTATGTAGTTTTATGCAGGATAAATGAATTTCATCATCAACTCCTCTTTCTGAACACATTTTGCAAGGAAAGAGTATCTATAAAATTTATGCAGTTTTTGTTTTAGATGAGGCTGGATGAAACCTATTGTATTTTAGTCATTGCATCTCATGCAGCAGTGCATTATTCTCTTCTCTAGAAATAAGACAAGGTTGAAGCATGTGAACCAAATGTTCAGATGCATAAACTACTAGCCTTTACCTATTTTAGGTAAGTAGAAGAAGGAATTATGAAATCTTTGTTTTATATTAACAATGTAAAGTAGCAGAAGTTTAATCCATGAACAGCTGTTTTGTATTTGTGTACAACAGTATTTTTACAATAAAATATACAGGGAATTTTATTAATATGACCAAGTCTTCCTGTAGCCAAGGAAAGCTGCATTCATTGAAGACTAGTATACATCCACGCTTGACTAGAATTTTAAATCATTTATCTTTAAAAAAAAGTAAAGGAGAAAAATAAAATCCCAAACCTCTTAGATCTGAGCTAAACCTTTAAGTTCTTCGTATTGCAAATCCTTTAATAGAGCCATGTATTTCTTAATCTTTTTAATTCTTCAGTCAACTCATTTGAACCACAGCTGAGTGCTCATTCCAGTGCTGGGTATAATCCTCCCCACCATTCAGACAATTGGCACATGCTTCACACAGTCCTTCATCTTTCAAATTACCCCTCTGAGACAGAAATTATCCCTTCTTCTACAGAGCATCACACATTTTGCTAAGGAAATGAATGCACAGTATTCATATTTAGCATATATGGCCAGTCTTTCTTTGAAATGTCAATTTCTGCTTCCCCTGCTGAAGTTTGCATCTTGTTCTTTTTCCTCCTGGGTAGTCCCTCATACTTGTGGACCCAGTCCTATTATACTTGCTGTATCAAAAGGCTAGCAATAGTAGCTGTTTGAATAGATAGATCAGAGTACACACAGATCAATTATTTGCAATTATAATTATATTCAGGAACCTGCTACAAAAATGCTAACAAAGTCGGAGGACAGAGTGAAAATTTCCCATTCTTCTCACTAGTTACTCACAGGAGGTCCTGGTGGCCCCGGTTTTCCTGGGAGACCTGGTTTGCCTCGTCTTCCCTAGAAACAAAAAATTAGAACAGACATTTATAAATATTGTGGCTAGGGACTGATCTGGAAGAAGAATTTTAAGAAAAGATTTATTGCCTTGCTTACTATGAAAAAACCATAAAAATCAAAAAACATCCAAAATGAATACTCTGTATCAGTCACTGCAACCCTGTCTGCTTCTAGGATTGCATTTAATAGTTACGACAAACTATTTGCATCCCTGTAACATCTACTGTCACATTTTAAAGCTTTGTCTCAAATGTGAGTACACATTGACAAGGATATTAATAAAGCACCTTGATGAGGTGTAAACAAATTATATTTTGTCTCAATACACCAGAGCTTGGGATGTTACACTGTGCTCCAGCAGTCTGAATTGCACAGTAAGTACATATGTGCAATATAACCTAATTAAGAAACAACCATATCCCTCTTCACTGGGATGTGATAACAAGCACACAAGTCAGAGATTTATTTGCAAAAACAATTCACCTTCTTCGTGCAATTACTACCATCTGTGTATATATAATGAACATCAAATCATTTGCATTAAAACTTAAGGTCCATAAAAGTCTACTTAAGGGAGACTTTCCACTAAGATTCTAAAAAAACCATGCATATGTAACTACTATAATTTTTTAGTACAGAGCTTACTTGAACAACTGCTGTTTTCACATGTGCTTTTTTTTTAGGAAGATCAACATAAAAATGGAAGTAATTTACAGGAATTTACTTCTTTATTGCCAAGCTGAAATCTGATGCACGTTTTTAGTAGCAACTGCTGAGAACAAGTAATATCTAGGTGTGATGGCTAAGAAAAGAAAGAAGTATTATATCCATTAAGACTAAATTTTTCCCTTGCATATGGCAAGTGTAAATTAATGTAAAGCTTTAGGGGGTTGTTGTGGTGAAAACTTGGCTTGAAAAGTGAAAAAATTAAAATGCTTGCTGACAGTTCACAATTTACACATAGGGGTATTTCTGTAAGCTGTGGTCCCTATTTCTAAGCCTGCTTCTGTATTTTATTAAATAATGATCTCGCGGAAACTGCAGAAGTAATCTCAGGAACAGAAAGTAAAATCCAGTTTCACTTTTTCCAGGTGAGATCCCTGATCTGTAAGAAACCACTCTCATGCTCTGCCTTTCATTAATCTTGATCTATGCTAAGGGGATCAAGATGATGACAGTAAGAGTAGAAAACTGCTGAAGGTGCCCCAAGAGAATCCTATGAGTGGTGGAGGAAACTTAGTGAAGAGAGATCAGAAGAAGAGGACGAAAATATATCAGAGTGTACTTACGCCGTAATGTGCTGAATGTGACTGTCGTGACTATGAGAGTGTCTGTTCCCCATTGTCTTTACTCAGTTGTGTAATTGTTTTATTGTTAGTATAATACACCTTATTATAAGGTGTACCATTCCCTTCACTGTGCCCCTGTTACCCTTTCTCCTATTGGTTCTATCTAAGCCCTTTCCTTATTCGTCCTACCCTGCTTCAGCAGTTCTCCCGAAAGACAGTTTCCCATTTGTTCATGTTTAAACAGTTCCACCCCTTGTTGCTGTGACTGGCCACTCTAATACTCCTCCCAGTCTCCACCCTTCATTCCAGAAGGGTCCCTGCTCTTCCTTTATAAGCTGGTGTCCATGTTTAATAAAGGTCCATTTTGTGTCACACTGGGACTGCATGCAGAGTGGTCCTTCTGGGTCTTGCAAAGGGGGGGTTACAGCTCTCCCCCTGTCAGAAAACCCTGTCTTCCTCAGACCCTGCTGGTCACCGGGGTAACCTCTTGCCTAAAAGCCAGGGACTCTCCTAAGAGGTAGGAATTTGAAGCCCTTCAAGTTGAAGAATGAACAAATTGTGCCACATAACATGTACACTACCACCATGGTTTTATAAAGGTCCTCTGTCAGTCAGTGTGTTTTAAGGGGAGTGTGAAAAAAAAATACCTCAGCATATTTGGAGTGCCAAATTCCTAGGTCTTAACTAGCTGAGACATACATTATGTGCTGAGCTGTTTAATCTCACCAGTACTTGCACATGCAGGGGTTTAACTGGGGCAGCTCAGGATAAATTTTTAGAACCAAAATACAGTAGTAGGTGTGTAAACTGGGATTATGGCTATACTGCCCTTATTACGCACCTCCAGCATGTCCTCCGCTGTGCTGGTAACGCTGTCCATGCAGCCCTGGGAAAAGCCAGAGATGGAAACTCATCTGGGCTAGGGATAGCCCACAAAAAAAGTGGAGTACTCTTTGACTTTGGTCAGTTGACTGATGCAGTTCACTGAGCAACTGAGGACCTTGTCCGGCCTGACAGAGGGCACAGTGCCAAGAAAGACACACATGCACAAGGAAAGGGGGCTATAGTTAGCTAGATCTGTACTTTTGGACTGATATCTACTACAGAAATACAGTTGGAAACTAATATTCCCTGACTTTCTTTAAAAAAACCTACTAAACTTCCCTTAGAAAATATGAAAAACAGATTGAGAGGTAACAATGTAAGGAATAAACAAAGATAAATTGCTCCTTACTTTTAAAATAGTCCCTCTGAGTTATAATGATCTACAGTGTTGACTTCTTGAAGCACCTTCCTTTTCCTGTTTGGACTTCTTTAAAGTATCCTGAGGATGACACTTAAAATCTCAGCAGTCTAAACAAAGTATCAAGGAAGTGTCAGGAAGAAGACAGGGCTTTGACTGGCAGACACAACTGTGAACGAGGTGTTAATTACACAGGAAAACATGGAATATGTTGGGAAGGCAATTTTATCTCTGTTTACAAGATGAGCTAAAATTTGATTTATGACATAGCAAAGACAAAACTCGGTGAACTTTCTGAAAAATCAGATATAAAAAAAATAAAAATTGTGAGTAGTTATTTTTCACTGTCATTTTTTAATTAGTAGAACACCTACCCAGTGAAACACAGAAGAAACACTTGCCCAACCTTTTATCTAATCATTATTAGCCATTATGTTGTGTTCCATGTAAAGCAACCACAGGGATCAGTACGAAGCATAAGCTTTTTCTGGAGTAATAGAAGTCCTTTTTTTTTTCTCCAAGCACCTTTATAAACCGATATTTTAATTTTAACATGGAAATACGTAACAGACCACTACCTTCCATCGATGCCTTTCAGATAGATACGGAGACTTTAGTGTTAGGAATACACAAAGCTCTACCTACTTGTCAGCACTCCTTCTCTATGACTTCTCAGCATCAGCATGGAATAGATAGAATTTATACTACCGTAACAGTGTAAGTAGAGAAAATCAGTTTATATTTTTGTTCAGGATAATTAAAACAATTAGAAGAATGTTTTTGACAAGCCAAATATGATCTTGCCTTGAGCAGGCCATGAGCCAGGCTGTGACTAAATATTTACAATTTGATTTTGAGTCATCCTTCTGCCAAGAAAGAAGTGAAAAACATCTCAATGTCCTCTCCAGTTTGTAGAGTGGGCTTAGCAGAGAGCCACAGTTCCCATCTCCTGCTCGGCAGCAGGTCTTGGCAGCCCCATAAAAGCCATACTTACTGCCATACTGCTGTGCATGGGGCTGACAGCCAGCACAGGAGGCCCATTACCTTTATTTAGTTGAGTTCACTGAGCAAATACTAAGGTTATAAACCCACTCAAAATACAAGTAAAAGCCCTAGGCAGCACATTCTTCCTTTGACTAAATATAATAATGGCCAGTCTTCGCGAGCGAAGATTTGGGGAAAGGTCTTTTACCTTTCCAGCCTGCGCAATGGATTTTTTAGGTGAGACACAGCGTGCGCTGAACTGAGCCCACCCTTTAATCCTAAGGTTCATCTGCCGGGGCCAAGCAAGCTTGGACAATGGCAGTGAGGTCCTCAGGACGTAGGTTTGTTTAGAGTGACCTTCTCATAGATGGATGGCCTCACAGGGCTAACGAGCTACCATCTGCCCGGGGGACTTGGGATTCGAACCCGTGGTCGCAGCAGTGAGAGTCCTGCATGCTAACCACTAGGCCACCAGGGGTCCCCTTTGACTAAATAAAAAAAAAAAAAAAAAAAAAAAAAAAAAAAATGCAATACCACCTACACTAACTTAAAAAGGATACATAGTGTCAAAGTTACCTAATGCTACTTAGCATATCTGAAGAAGACCTAAACAGTTGCTGGTTATTTCCCTTGTGCTGCACGTATTTTCTGATGGAAATTAATGTGATAGGAAGTTTTCTACATGTTACTGATACTGTATCCTATCCCCTTGACTCATCAAGTGCCTGCCCCCAACTAATTTGGACAGTTGGCTACTTTCCTCTTTTCCATAGGACAGACTTCAGCTAAGATACACGCACAAATCATACAACTAACAACTGCTTGGTTAGGGGCAAACAAAGACAAAATACTACAAATAAAATAAATGAGAAATTTTGTGCTTCAGGAAACCCAGCTGAGTGCCCAGCTGAAGTACGTGGTCAGCTCCATTCTTTATTTCTCTCTTCCTTTGCCCCTTTTATGAATTGAAATTACTTGATGAGCTTTGCCTTACATAAGATGGAAAACTGTTCAGAAGAGAAGATCTGTCCATCCTTCCATGGGCTTGTGCTCTGATTCTGACTGCTGGCCCTGGGAATCGCTGCAGATCCAACATACAATGCAAGAATTCAAAGCGTATTTTGTAACCCCCTGCTGTATCATATCACATCCATCTATTTGCATATATCTAACTTAGAGTAAAATATCTAATCCTAGTGCTTAAAAAAAGGTGTGGATTATTTAAGAATAAAATTGAGTAGAGTTATGTAGGAACACCGACAAAATGTATGAAATTAATAATTTAAAGAACACCCATACTTGAATATGAAGGTAGAAGTTCTTAGAATAAGCCCGTGTGCATTTTCAAGGGAAACTGCTAATTAGTGGTTCTTGAAACACATCACATTTCAAAACATGAACTAGTTCTAGGGAATGTAGAAATCTGGGCTTTAAAGTCTTATCTGCTATAGTTGTTATGTAAGATTAATGAGGCTTATGTAGTT